ATACTAAAAATACTTCATAAATCAAGTTAATTTTTCATTCCGACCAAACTACAAACTGAAAGCAGCCTTCTTTTACTAATAATCAATTATTACCAACTATGTATAAAAAAAATTCGCGTACTAACTCATCATGAGATAATTAAGCATGCCAGCTAAAAAAACAAAATTTTACTATTATGAGAAACAAAAGTAAACACCTCATTTTTAAATTTGCTTAAATAAATCTAAAAAATCAGTGTCACCACTCATAAAAAATCAAATCACTACAGTAAAATTAAAAACACTTTCCTAGCAATAAAAAAAGTTATTTCATTCATGAAGTCACTCAGTTAGCTGTGATAAACATCAAATGTCAAATTTGACAAATTATCCCAATCGTGGCCTACTGAATACCGAAAACTTGTGTAATCGCTGGAATGTGACATTTAATTTGCATAAACAGTTTTTAATTGTTCAGGTGTACCAACAATTCCCAAAAATCACCGAAAAAATGTTTTTTTCACAAAAAATTCAACAAAATTCGAAATGAATCACGCATCYTGTCCCAATTAGCCAAAAATTGACACATTTATCGTGGCCAATGGTCAATTTAAAAATCATTCGTACCAACCGTATCCGAAAAAATCACTAATTAGGGAAAAAGAGACGACCTTGAGTGTYTAAATTACGCAATAAAATTAAAAAACAAAAATTTTGTAACGGTTAGGTAACGAAAAATGAGCTAGACAATGGTAAAGTTTCCGGGTGAAAAATCCGGYGGCCCAATCGCAAATGTCAGATGTAAAAAGCGACTTATAATTACGATTGCCTCGGGGGGCTGTCGGGCCAGTATGTAAATGGGCCTCGGGAACCGTTGGGAAACGCAATCCCCGGAAAACTCGCGACGCGACTTTCCCACAAATTGACCTCACAGTGGACACGAATCCGGGGGTAAACCCCCGGAAAATCGTCGGGGAAATTCGGGGAAAAAGAAAATATGTCGACGTGGCGCACGAGTCTGGGGTGCTGGCACGGGGATTTCGGGCTCGGACATCGCGTGACGGGATCAGGGATCGCAGGGATTAAGGATTAGGTTAAAATTTAGTGAATATGGCGACTTATCTAACAGATTGTACGTCTCGATGGCAACTTGATTCTTAATAAAACTCACCTGATTTTTTAAAAAGTCGTATATTGCACGAACAGCCGAATCCGTGAGTTTCACAAAAATTAAGTCTTTATTTTCACCAAAATTTTGCTGCGATGATAAACCATACTGAACACCTGGACAGAGAGTCGCCATTTCTGTCCAGTGTAGTCCAGTCTGTCGCACTTCACAACCAGCTGACGTTTGGATGTCAATGAACGGTCCGTGTTCATAAACGTCAAGATAATTATTTTTCACGCTGGAAAGACGCTAATCTTCACGTTTTATGGGCGAAAAATCGACGATTGAATTTGGAAATGAGGTGGTGGAGTGGAAAARGGGGAAAATACGCGATTTGAGACGATTTTTTCGCAAAAGTAGAGGGCGCTAGCGGTTGAACTCGGCAGTTGGGGGAGTCCAGAAAAGGTTCGCGACTTGGCTAAATCCAGATTTTTGAATTTTTTCAGGAAAATTTCCATTTTTGGTCTGATGTAAAGGAGTATGAGAATAAAAACGCGTTTGTTTTATTTTTAATTGTTTTATTTAGACCCAGATAAAAATGCAGAAAAAAACCAAAACCTAAATATAAAGAAAAATGTAAAAATGCTCAATACAGTACTAGTACTAGTTTTTTATAAGAATCTTTTTTTTTTGGTCAGAATCGAATATAGGGCTTATGCTTCTAGCCTTATTCTTAATTTTAGTACTGAATATCTCAAAAAATATGCATCGTAGAGTATTTAAACTTGTTGCATTGTGTTCAGCGCGTAATTTTACGTCTAGAAACCCATATTTTAAGCGTTTTTACTACTTAAGGTAAATTGACTATTTTTATGATTTTACAACTTAAAAAATTCGTAATTTTTTAAACTTGACCCAATAATGTTTTATGCACTTTTTTAAGTCTTTATGTAAATGTAAAAAATGTTATATGGTACAATATTAAAATTAAAATTAAAAAAAATTATTGTTGAGATTTTGGTCGATTTTTGGTACCCGGAGCAGTATGTTGCCAATAACTCCGGACTTATTGGTGAATTTAATTTTCTATCATATACAAAAAAGGTCAGTGTTCTACGATAAATAGTTATCGAGCAAATTTCTGATAAAATAAAAAATATCAAAAATATAAATTCGACTATAACTTCAAAACTATTACTAATTTTGCAGTTTTCTTGACGCCAATCGATTCCCCAGAACATTTTACATACAGAGTGCGCCAGAACTCGCGCCCCAGAGAAAAATGCCATATAAGGTAAGATACCAGGCAGGGCCGCGCCAACCCTGGTGCCAGAGCTGCACCGCACCCGGGTGGCAGGTCAAGGGGGAGGCACAAAGATTTTGTCTAAAAGTTTGGTAATTACAAAATACAACAACCATGGTTTCAAAGCCGTAAAGCTGTAGTTCACATTCGCGAATAAATTTGATTTTTTTCGCAACATTTGTGGAAAGTTGGTAAACAATTTTGATCCATACAATAAAAATCTATACAAAAAAAATCACTTCATTCACATTTACTGTTTCGACAGTCATTTGGCACGATATCTTAGCCAAAATTAATGTTGTTAGCAAAATATTGCAAACACATATTATTATCATACATGCGTAGAGCATTTAGAAAATTTAAATAAATATTTAGAAACAAAAAGGTCAGAGAGAGAATTTGACAAAGTACTCGTAACTGCAAAAATTAGCTGCAGAGTTAGAGACTGAGCCAAGCTTTCCAGAATCTTCCACCATTAGAAAGAGGTCAAAAAAGACAATTTTACATGGTGATGAACCAATTTGAGATTCCGAAAAAAAATTTAAAGTCAATTTTTATTTTTCAGATACCGCGATTGTGTCGTTAAATGAAAGGTTCAATTTAATAAAAGAATATGTATAGTGACACTTTTAACTTTCTTTATATCATACAGGCTTTCAATTATTATGATAAAAAAACCGAATAAAATATTGCACAGATTTACAAGTAAAACTAATAACTGACGGGAATAAAAAAAAACATTAAGGCGCCAGATTTAGTGGATGAGTTAGAAGTAATTGCAACAAGTAATATAACCACCCCACTTCAAATACTGGAGTATATTTACAAAAATAATATATTTAATAAAATACATAAAAATATATACTGTTTTGTTTATTGTCGACTGGTTGAGTGATTAAATTTGTTAATTTTCGTGTTTAAATTTTATGTATTTTTTGTATCGAACGTTATTTACAAAATGAAGAATTATTGACTATTGTCAATTAAGTGTTTCATTTTATTTTATTCTGCAATTACTTAGGTTCTTCAAGTATTGTCAAGGGGGCAGCAAAGTGTAAACTGCACCCAGGCGTCGGTGGTACCCAGCGCGGCCCTGATACCAGAAACATGTAAGTTAAACGCGTGTTTCTACGAAACTATAATACTTAGAGCAAAAAGCTAAAAACCATTACAATCTACTTTAAATTATCTATTTAAAGTCGCTCCGGGTTATTATTTCGGGTACCTTTTACCTTTTTTAGCACACATGGGATCGATGGGGACTTTTGACACTTTATTCCTAATGGTGTACCCAAGATCTCCACCAAAATTTAGCTCTGTCGGAATTTTAGTTATTTGAAATGTCTATTTTGACCGGACTATAGCCCCACTGACAAAATTCAAAAACCATAAAATCGGCGTTAAATTACCAATCAAACAGTGAAAACCATAAGTCAGACAACTCGAAAAAATGTCAGTTTTTGACAATTTCCGTCCGTGAATTTTTGACATTTGATCCCAAAATGGATCCAATGCTACAACGCCACTGCGCTCGCTACATCTACATCGTCCCTGACGGTCTCCGAGAGCTCATGAGCGACATCTCGCGTGAAGTCGGTACGGCCCCCTTAAACCCCCATAACCCTCTCGCCCCCAGGTCCTCCGCTCCGAGCCCGAGGACATCTACACCTTCATCGCTGACTACCTGGACGCCCTCCTCATCACACGCGAAAACGCCCGAATCTCGGCGAAATTCGTCCAATACATGACCGAAGTGTCGGAAACCATCGTCGACCTCCTAAACCGCACCGGAATGACCCGAACGGAGGCCGACGCCGCCGCCACCGTCATCCAAGAGGCCTTCAAAGCGTGGAGCGAACGCAAAGGAATCCGTAAGTCGGGGGAAAAACCCAAAAAAATGATAATTTTCCGGTAGTGAAAGAAGATGAAGAGACGATCATCGCCCGGATTATTGAAGACGCCGGAATCACTTCTGGGCAAATCCATGCCGCGGCCGTAGTGATCCAACACGCATTCAGAGCTTTCAAAATGCGTCAACAGAGGGAAGCACAGTTGTTGTCCGGCATTGTGGACTGGCGTGTGGCGGCGCGAAGCGCCATTCGGCTGTACCGCAAATCGGGGGTTTCCCCCGAAGAGGRCAAACGCGCCGCCAACTTGATTAAAGCCGCGTATAAAGGGTACTACACACGTAGGGCAATCAGACAACTCAACGAACAACCCCTTGAAGATGTTGAAATAAATGAAGAAATTGAAGAAGAAGAGTCTCAAGGGTCCTARTATAGCGAACACATGAAGTACCAACCCTTCAATTTGTGGAAAAATCCCCCAAATGACTGTTTCTAGGTCCAAGGGYGTCCGAATTGACTTTAATACAGTGGTACCCCATGTGGATTTCGGGGGTGAGGAGCTCATCTCACGTGATATTGTCTCAGTTTTGGAGGAGGAGCAGCCCCCTTCACATGACGATAACATCATGGCGAGGATTTTCGGGGAACTCCCCGAACCCACCGTTGAGGAAATCGTCAAAGACATCCTCAATGATATCATAATTGGGTTTTGCTCCCCCAAATGGTGAAATTCAGGTGAAAAGTGTCTTTTTTAGGACTATTGGGACTGAAGATGAGCCCCATATTGTGTTGGAGGAGATGGATTCGGATATTGACTCTTTTGTTCCTCCTTTGGTTGAAGAAAAGCAAGAGATGCTGATGAATCGGTCTCAGATTCTTCCAGTAATGTCTCAGGAGGAGTTGGATATGGAGATGAGGGAGGCGAGGCAGGAGATGTTAGCGTTGAAGAGGGCTTCGAGGGAGAGACAGTCGGCGATTGAGTTGGAACAGGTGGAGAAGGTGATTGCGCCGACCACTGAGGAGGAAGAAGAGGAATTGCAATGAAAAGTAAAAATTTTGATCAATAAAAAGATTACAATTTGTGTTTTTTTCTTTGAGTAACATTACAAAAAAATGAGACTAACATTTAAAAAAACAGCATAAATAGTAAAAAAAATCAAAATAAAAAAAATCAAAAGTAATAAAATTAAAAAAAAGCAAAAGGAAAAATTCAAAAGAATAAGAATGACTAGAAGACAAAAATACAAAACATAAGAGTTGAAAAAGTAGAAATTAAAGTTGTATAAAAATAAAAATAGAGACAAAATAAAGAAACAGGTATGCGTGACAAAAAGAAAAAACAGAGATGGAAGCAAAATCAAAAAAAAAAAGGAAAAACATCCTTTAGAACATGTAAAAGTCAAAGGTAAAAAAAACATAAAAAACAAGTTCAATAATATAAAAAACTACACAAAATACGTAAAAACAAAAAAAATCACATGCAAAACAATTTTGAGAAACAAAACTGAAAAATAAAGCATTTAATTCAAAARAAATTTGTCAGTAAAAACCGTAAAAACAGCAAATAAAAAAAGTAAAAGTTTAATAAGTAAAAAATACATAGTTAAAATAAGATTATTAAAAAAAATTGAAAATATTTGGAAGACCTTAAAAATATAAAATAATAAAAAACTAAGAAACAGAAGCCTGAAAAATAAAGATACTCGTAATAAAAGCAGAAAGTACAAACAGATGAAAAGTTGTAATAATGAAAAACAAGAAAGAGACAAGAAAATTAAACAACAAAAAACAAAAATAAACTTAAAATTACAAGAAAATCAAGAAAAGTAGAAACGTTGAAAAAATGAAAAAACAAAGTTAAGTGTGTATAATCAAAAAGGTAAAAGAAGGAACAAAAGTTTGAAAGTCAAAGTTTTAAGAAACGTAAAAAAAGTATTTAGATGAGAACAAAAGGCAAAAATTTTACATGAAACGCACAAAAAAACGTCGCCAAATTCTAAAAAGTATAAAAATAGAAAAAAATAAGTGATCATGAAGAAAAGATGAGAGAAAAGAGAACAGAAAGGATAGATGTAATAAAAAAACAGAAAGTTACATAAGAAACCAAATAAAAAATTATATTCAAAATAGAAGCTACAAAAAAAACTGAGCAAACCAAAAACCAGAAAAAGATAACAAATCCTGTACAAATATGTAGGAAACGTAAAAAATGAAGAAAAACAAATTGAAAATAATTCCAACAGATCTGAAGAAAATGAAGAAAATTTGCCTTTGGCCTCTACATTTTTGAAAAATCTTTTTTTACAAATTTGAATTTATTTATGTTATTTTACATCCAATTCGTCTGTTTTCCAAGAACTCTACGATTTTTTGGAAAAGGAAGAAAAAAAAAAACGTTGGTTTGAGTAAAATGCACGTTAGGATCAAACATTTGACGATATTTTCCAAACCGTAAGTCGTAGCGACATAATTCTTACAGATTTGGATTCTGCAGCTCATTTTACGTTATAATCACTCAATTTTATTGAAATAACTCCAACAAGTCTGAAGGAAATGAATAAAGTTTGTCTTGACTAAGACTAACACTAGACCAAATGCTTTATTTGCCTTTGGCCTCTAAATAAAAAAAAAAATTGTACTTTTTTATGAATTGAGGTTTTTCATATTATTTTGCAGCCAATTCGCCTATTTCCCAAAAACTACAATTTTTTGAAAAGGAAAAAAAAATCAAAAAATTGTTGATTTGTAAAATGCATCAAATTTTTGACGATAGCTTCCAAACCGTAAGTCGTAGCGAGATAACTCTTGCAGATTTGGATTCTGCAGGTCATTTTACGTTGGTCACCCAATTTTATTGAAATAAGTCCAACAGGTTTGAAGAAAATGAAGAAAGTTTGTCCTGAGACTAACAATTCCTTAATTTTTAGTTTCTATATTTTTGAAAAATTCTGCTCTTTTTTCACAAATATAAGTTTCTCGGGGGGCCATTTTGTACACAATCTATCAATTTAAAAAAAAAAGTTTTTGGAAAATAAAAAATAAAAAAACAGTAAAAAATGGAAGCCAAGATAGGTAAAACGAAAAAAAAAAAACACAAAACAGATTCAAAAAATTTTATTGAAAAAACTAAACAGTCAGCAATCCTTTCACAAACAAATTCCCATAACCTTCAACTTCCTCTTTTAATTTCCCAATTTCCTTGACCAAATCTTCATCAGACAACTTCCCCACCTCCAAATTCTTCACCTTCTCTAACGCATCTTCAATTATCTTATCCCCTTCTATAACGACTTGTCGTTTCAAAACCTGCTCAAAATCCTTCACAAACTGCATCCCCGCCGAGTGCTCCATCTTCTCCTGATGCTCAATCGCTGACTAAAACCCAAATCAACCCAAAAAACAACACACAAGAAAAACCCCAAACCTGTATCACATCATCAGGAAACTCAACCATCGTCGCACAATGCACCCCATAACTGTTATCACACTCCCCATCCCTGACCTGATAAAGGGGCGTAATGGTGTTATCGGTCGTGACGGCGGTCACGTGCTTATTCCTCACACAGGGGTGCATCTCGGCCAGACGCGTAATCTCGTGGAAGTGAGTGGCAAATAGGGCGAAACAACCCACTTCTTTGGCCAAAAACCTAGTTTTTTTCAAAAAAAATAAATAAAAAGTTAATAAACATAAAATACATATAAATTAAAACCAACAACAAAAAAAAATAATAAAATAAAATCAAGATGTATAAAAAAATAAAAAAAAATAAAAAATGCCAATATAAAAAATAAACACTAAAAATACAAAAAAATTAAAAAAAAGAAAAGAAAGAAAAAATTTAAGAAAATGTATAATATATAAAAAAAACAAAAAATATACTTATTAAAAATAAAAAATCAGAAGCAAAAAACACAAAAATTTTGAAACAAAACTGGAAAATAAAGCATTTAATTCATAATAAATTAGTGAAAATGAAGTAAAAACCCATAAATTCAGCCAAATGAAAAAAAATAAAAATAAAATCTAAAAAATTGAAAACCAAATAAAAAAGGGTAAAACTTTAATGAATGAAAAATACATACATAAATAATAGTAGAAGTATATAAAAACAAGACATGGAAAAATAAAAATTGACAAAGTATAAACAAATTGAAGGAAAAGGGCTGAAGAAAAAATTATTCAAAAATAATAGAAAATAGGTATTTGAATAACCTTATAAAATATAAAATAATAAGAAACTAAAAAACAGGCTTGAAAAAATAATAAAAAAATAAAATTCTAGAAAATGTATAAAAATATAAAAAATATAAAAAAATAAATAAAAACACTATATAAAAAATAAAAATTAAAAATAGAACAAGAAATTAATAAAAAAGAAAAGAAAGAAAAAAATTAAGAAAATGTATAAAAAAAAAATATACATATACAACAAATAAAAAATCTGTTGCAAAAAACATAAAAATTTTTGAAAACAAAACTGGAAAATAAAGCAGACATTTAATTCATAATAAATTAGTAAAACGTAAGTAAAAAACCGTAAAAACAGCAAAATGGGAAGAATTAAAAAGGAAATAAAAGAGTAAAAATTAATAAATAAAAAAATACATAGTCAAAATAATAGTATGTAAATACAAGCATCTGAGGACATGGGAGAAGAAAAATGAAGAAAGTATAAATGAAGTGAAACAAAAGAACTGAAGAGAGAAGAAAAAGTTATTCAAAAATAATGGAAAATATTTTAGAGCCCTAAAAAATATAAAATAATAAAAACTAAGAAACAGAATATTACAAAATTAGTAAAAAAAAATCAAAAAATAATAAGAAAGAAACAAAAAAAWTTTTAAAAATGTACGAAAAATAAAAAAAATACGAATATAAAAAATAAAAATAATAAAGTAGGGGACTCACTCAGCGATGGCGAAGGCTAAGCCACACCCATCATAGGTGGATGTTCCCCTCCCCAATTCGTCAATAATAACAAGCGAATTCGGCGTGGCACTCTTGATAATCGTCGCAGTTTCGATCATTTCGACCATAAAGGTGCTCAAACCCTTAAGTTGGCAATCCTCAGCGCCAACTCGTGCCAAAATCGCGTCAACTATTGGTATTTCGGCGTAATTGCAAGGAACAAAAGACCCGATTTGGGCCATAAGTACACAAACCCCAATACTCCGAATGTAGGTACTTTTACCACACATGTTGGGACCCGTGATGATGTGCAAGGTTTGATTTGAGTCAAACTCGACACTGTTTGGTATAAAAGACACATGTTCCTGTTGTTCGATACACGGATGTCGCACTTTGAACAATTTGAGGTTCCTTTGCGCAGACTCGAACATTTTAGGACGAGTATAGGGCACACGTGCCCACACTGCAACGTTAGCAAATGACACCAAAYCATCAACCATGGCTATGTACATGTTCAAGGTCCTCAAACAATCGCCATAGCCGGCTGCGACATCGAAAATTTCCGAAATTATAGACTTTTGTTGCTCACAATACTCGGCTTGTGCCTCGGCATAATCATCATTAAGCTCGCCCAACTTATCACAAGTGAATCTAACGCCACCTTTGACCGCATCGATGACCTTGTAACGTGAATTTGACCTCAAAGCCGGTTCCTCTTTCAAGGTCACGCGAAAAAAGTACCGGTGTTGGTCGGTATACTCCAACTTGATTGTTTTCTCCTCATCAAAACCCAAATCAGAGGCGGCTGAACGCAACAATTTCTGCATTTTTTCCTCAATTTTAAGTTTCCTGGTGTAGATTTCCTCCAATTGAGGACTGTAACTACGCTTGACTAGAAACTCCCCCCGGTCGACTAGATCCAAATCTAGTAACTCCTCAATCATGGCTTGGTACCTCTCGAGGTCATTCCGAAGTTCCTCAATCGGGTGGATGACCACCGATTTGAGGACCGGATTATCAACTTCTTTCAGGCTTTTGAGGAGGAGGGGAACAGCCGCGACGACTTGATACACCTTATAGCAGTCTTGGAGAGACGCTCGCTTACTTGATAGTTTCTTGGAGAGGAGGAGGAGGTCAGGTAAACGAGTCAAAACCTCACTTTGCAAACTTTGCCTCAATTGAGGAGTTTTCACGAAAATTTCAACTATATCATGACGCTCTTTGATCAAATTGAGGTCTTTCAATGGTTGCTTGATCCAGGTTTCGAGTAGTCGGTGACCTTGATTGGTCACACAATGGTCTAGAATCCCCCTCAAACTGAAATTTTTACTTTTTTGAGGTATAAGAGGGTCATCAATCGTGACCACCCCCAATGGAGGGAGGATATTAAGAGAGTAAAGTGCAGCATTGTCCAAACGGACATATCGATGAATATCAAGAGTGCTAAGTTTGAATTGGTTGAAATTTTGCTCATCTCCAATCAAATTGAGGAATTTGATGACGGCATTCAGGCAAGTCAAGGCCTCCTTGTTGTGGGTTTCAGGACAACTGAGACAACTCCTTTGTTGTCCTTCAGCAAAGTAGAGGAGTCTATCCAGGTCCTGGACCACGTTTTCGGTCCCAAAATCGGACTTTTTCGCCCTAGCAACTAAAACACTGTTCCGTTCTAGTACTTTTTTCAATTCTAGCAAATCGGGGGATTCCCCCTGTGGAATGACACATTCCCGTGGGCCCACTTGCGCAATCAAGGCCTCTAATTCGGTGAAACACTCATTATCACTGAATTCACACACTTGAATCTTCAATTCGGTTGAATTCACACCTGCGACTGCTATAATCCGCCCTTTGAGTGGTTTCACCCCCATGACGTAGTTACTGAAGGTTATAGAGGCATTCTCGAAGAGGATTTCCTCGAAGGGGGAGAGGTTCCCGGGGGAGCCTTTGTATTCCAGAGTCCAGTCGTTGACCTTGTTCGGGGCGGATTTGACGTAGACCTCGACGCGGTATTGCCTCACGAGGAGCAACTCCCGGATGTAGTTCTCAAATTGGGGTTTTCGGAGGACAATGTAGGAGAGTTTGGGGTCGTCCCCCATGAATTTGATGATGTTGCCGGTGAAAGTGGAGGCGGAGGTGGCGTCGGAATCGTGGAGGGTGTAGAAATCGCCATGGTGGAAGAAACGCAAAGTCGAAGACGGTTTCTGCAAGATGTTATAAAATTGAAGAAGAAATAACATAAAAAAACACAAAAAACAATTTAGAGCACTAAAAGAGTGAACAGAAGAAAACAACTACAAGGTAATAAGAAAAAAAGAGAAAAAGCATATCTAATTAATAAAATTTCTACAAAATTACAAAAATTGTGAAGCAACAAAAAAAAAAACGAATAAGAATTGAAAAAGTAGAAAATCGTCAAGTCTGAAGAAACGTAAAGTAGAAGTCGTTTTCTGCTAGTTTTTCAAAAACGTCAAATTAAGTTAAAATTGAAAAAAGGTAAAAGCAAAATAAAATAAAATGCGTTTATAACGGATTAAAACAGAAAAAAAATTAAAAAGTTGTAGAAACAATAATGATAATGAAACAAGAAGAATAAATAGAAACTAGGATAAAAGAACAAAAACAGCAATAGAAAATGAAAAAGTAAAAAATAAGTATATACGTAGAACAAAGATAACTAAAAGAAAAACAAAGAAGATAATAAAAAGAAGACGAAAATAAAGATAAAAGTAACAAAAAGGAAAKAGGAAAAAGCGCCAAAAATCGAAAACCTAGTGCATAGTAGACAAAACAGAGTTTAACAAGACCAAAAGAAGAAATCAACTAAAAGTAAATGTAAAACATGAGTAGAAACGTGAAAATAGCCAAAGTGAGAAGAAGAAAGAAAGGGAAAAGTAAAGAAATAAAAAATAAGCTTAAAGCTGATAAAACGACAACATAAAAAAGAAAAAAAAATCTATAGGTAAATAGTAAAAGAAAGAAAAATTGAAGTAAATAAAAAGAAAAAGCGTAACTAATAAAATTACAACTTAGAGTACTAAAAAACAAAAAAAAACACTTAAGAACAAAAATGGTGTCATAATAGCTAAAAAGAAAAAAGTAACAAAAAACAAATAAGGACAATAGAAAAAAGGAAAAACCTAATGTGGGAGTCGGTTTCTGCAATGTTTTTAAGAAATATAAAATGTTATGTAAATATTGGAAAGGCAAAAGCAAAAAGAGAGAAAAAATTAGTCCTAAAAAGTTGTAAAAAAATTAAAAAATCAAAAACAAAGAAAAATAGAAAGAAAAAATTAACAAAGATATTACTTAGAAAATGTGTAACAAAATAAAAGAGAACAAGCAATAAACGTAAATGAAATAATAATAAAAACAGAAAAGAGCAATGAAACAGGACTAAATTACAACTATTAAAAAAGAACAAGAGTAGCAAAATAAAATGGAAAAGTAAAAAATCAAAAAATATAGACAAAGTAAAAATTCACAAAAACAGAAACGACTGAAAACTAGAAAAAGCGTAAAAATCAAAAATCTAGTACATAGAAAAGAAAATAGAATTCAACAAAAAAACATATAAAGAAAAAATAAACCAGAAGTAACGATAAAAAGCGAAAAAAAAATCGGAAGCAAAAGTGAAAGAAGCAGAAAAAGGAACAAAAGTAAAGAAATAAAATAAAATAAGCTTGGAACATGCGAAAGCAGATAAAACGAAGAATTGTAAATAGCAGAAGAAAAAAAATTGAGGAAAATAAAGAGTGAAGCGTAACTAAAAAAAAAAGTATCATAAAAAGTAGAACAAACAACAAATGAGAACAGTGAAAAAAAGGAACGTGAAGTGGAAGTCGGTTTCTGCATTTTTTCTAAGAAGAGATAACATTTCGAAGAATGCATGGGTTTATCGGACATAAACAGTGCACTAATGCGTACTTGACACATTTTTCTAAATAATAACAACGATAACAATCTGATTATTTCTTCAAAAATCAAAAAAAAAGTCAAAATAATCAAAATGTTCGAATCACGTGTCCCAAAAATGTAAAATAAAAATCAAAAACTCGGTAAAAATAACAAACAGATTTTTATTAGCAACCTTTGGATGCGTGATAACCCACTTGTGTCATACTTATTCATGGCCCGTTTTGATTCTTTTATGCTGATTATAAAACTTGGAAATTTGCGAAATGTTTTTATTTGTGTTTTGAGTAAATTTCGTGTTTGAAAATTTTGTGAATTAGTTTGATTGGAATTTTATCATCGATTATTTCCAATTTTCACTAATTCGAATTAGAGTCAATTGATAATGATGGGGGGTCATGTCTGTGATAACATATTAGCCTATATATGAATGGTGGAGGTCTTGAGGGAATCAGTTTATGCAAAAACAGGCAAGTTATTGGGTTTAGAGGATTTTTGTGACAGAAAAGTAGAACAAAAAGCACAAGTAAGTTTTTTATTATTTTGCCCCCAAGGTAGATTTTTAAAATTTTTTTATTGTATTAATTGGTGGGTACTACTGTAGTTGACATTATTTAAAAAAAAATCAATTATATTTTACACAGGAGTACCACTTTCCTGTATTTTCCTAAAAAATCGCAAGTGTTATACCAAATTTCTGATCACTACCACCATAGTTTCCTTGTTTTTGTTGAACTTCAAGATACGTATATTCTTGTTAAAATCAAGGCAGAAGTATTACAGTACCATCCATAGCAAAAATATCAAAAATTTAATTAAAACTTCCATTTTTTTTAATAAATTTTTATTTTTTTTTGAATTCATAGATATTTTATTCGTATTCTTAACCAATCTTTAAGTTGGTACTACCTTCATGAAACATTGAAGAAGACTTTTTTACTCATGAAAAGCCCTAAATTTTGGTACCACCTGTGGTACCAATTTTTGAAATTTTTCTTTTTGTTTTTGAGTTAATTTTTTTAATGGCAGACATTAAAATGGTTTCTTTCCTCAAGTTTTTGTTAAAAATTTCAATAATAAACAAATTTGGATTTATCTTTGCGATAACCTCCGCCCCCTGACGTCAAGCCCAACCTTCACCGTCTCAACTTTCAGGAAATGACCTCGGTGCTCCTCCTCTGCACCCTCATAAGCCCTATTCTCGCCAACGGGTACTACCACCAAGAATACAACTACCAAACTTCCTCCTCGAGCTACAAAAACCACGAACTCCAGCACCACAACGAAGACGAAGGTTTCTACTCGAAAGATGGCGACTTGGAGGGGCGGTTACGCCCACGTGTCAACGCCCACAGTCAACACAGCGAATACGTTAACCCGAAAATGCAACACGGATATCGCATTGGTACGGATCGCACCTCCTCTTTCGGCCAACTCCACGCCCAAAACCGGTACCGAATGAACGAGCCGTTCGAAGGCGGGGCTTACGGTATGATGACACCAGTGCACAACTATGGCGTAACATCAAATTTGAGACAAGTGACGGAAAGTCTGCAACGCGAAATGGAGGCGGAGCTACAACAAGCGGTCTATGACCACGCCCAACGCGCTATGGCCTATGGCGGCATTACACAAGCGCAGATTGACACTGATAGGCGTGTCCTCGAAGAGGAGCTTCGCCGGAATGTCACAATGAGACTACAAGAAGCCTTAAAGATGCAATATGGTAACCAAGGTATCCGAGGGGCGTATTCTTACAGTATCCAAAATGGGCGTTTACAACCAACAGCCAATTACAACAATCAAGAATTAGCCGATTTGACACGACAAATGGAGGAGAATCTCATTCGCCATCTTGAACAACAAGTCCAAACCTACTACAGAACAGAAGTCCACACCCACACGCAAAGAAACACCTATCGCGTCAACGGGGGGGAGTATCCGGGGGCGTTACAAGCACGCCCACCGGTCTACCACCCCTACCCTCCACCCCACCCAAATCCGGTTTTGGCCAAACCCGATTCGATCACCACCGTCGCCACCCGAGTCCAAACCGAACTCAACGAAATCCTCAATAAAATTCTTGAAGACACTCAAAAACGCTACTTTGCCGAAAACAGCTACCAAAACCCCTCAATCAACTACGATGCTATTTTGGCCCACCTCCAAGACGAACTTCGCGCCAACATAACCTTCCATTTCGACGACCAAATCAAGCGCGCGTACGGCTACTCAAATTATGCCTCAAAATACAGCGTTGAGGATATTGAGAATTTGAGGAGGCAAATCGAAGCCAACTTGATCACAAAACTCAATCGTGATTTCAACCGACAGAGAGAGCGATTTTTCCAAACTCATCAAATATATCAACCAATCCCAGCGAACCATGTATTTTATCCTGCCAATCAAGTGCATCAAGTCGACGTTGGAAATTTACAAAGACAAATGCAAGAGCAACTTTCGCGACAATTACAGGAGGCGCTGATGCGTCAATCGTACTCTCAGGCGATGTACTCAGGAGGAGTTAGTTCACAAGCGCACTACCAGAGGGCGCTCGAACAACTCTCAGCTGAGCTGAATAGAAATTTGACACGGCAGATGGAACAATTGAATGCGCAACAGTATCAAATTGGTGTACATGATTCACAGCTGGCTGCAATGCGAAATCAACTACAGCATGATTTGATGAGACAGTTGCAACAAGGGTTGCAACAGTCCTATAGTCAATACAGCTCATGGAGTAGTTCATCGAGGAGTAGTTCAAATAGTCATAATTATAGGCCAGTTAGAGGGTTCGATGCCAATTTGTATAGACAATATGGCACCTCCAGCGATTTGGTGGGGGAAGATTGCATGATGGGGGATGATCCGGGAACTCAACGGACAAAAAGGGGTGCTTTGACACAGCAGAATGAAGATCTGACACAACAGACGGAAGATTTGACACAACAAACTGAAGATTTGACACAACAAACTGAAGATTTGACACAACAGAGTCAAGATTTGACTCAACAAACTCAAGATTTGACACAACAGACGGAAAATTTGACACACCAAAGTCAAGAAATGGCTCAGGATGAAGATTTGTCACAAAAAACTGAAGATTTAACACAGCAAGTTCAAACACAAAACGATTTAAGAAAACCAGGCATTTATGGTCAAAAGCCAGCACCTATTAGAGCTTTGACACAAAGTCAAGATTTGACACAACAAAGACAAGATTTGACACAGCAAGTTAAAACTCTAGACGATTTAGAGAAACCTAACAGTTATAGTCAAAACCAAGCGCCTCAAAGAACTGAAGACGTTTTTGGCGAACCTCAAAGTCAAGATTTGACACAACAAACTCAAGATTTGACACAACCTAAATATCATACTCAAATCGGTCCGAGTATTTCGCAGAAACCTGTGCCAAACTATTACTCTGGATTTATTCGTCCAACTCAAGATTTGACACAGCAAAGTCAAGATTTGACACAACCTGAATCACCTAGGTATGTTAGTCAAAACGGTCCGAGCGTTTCGCAAAAGCCGGTGCCAAATTATCAAGCTGAATATTACCATCCAAGTCAAGATAACGTTGGATTTATTCGTCCGAAACAAGATTTGACACAGCAAACGCAAGATTTGACACAACCAAAATATTACAGTCAACTTGGGCCGAGCATTTCTCAAGATCCGGTATCTCATTATCATGCGAGATATGTTCGTCCAAGTCAAGATTTGACACAACAAACTCAAGATTTGGCACAACCAAAATATAACAGTCAATTTGGGCCAAGCATTTATCAAAATCCCATGCCACAATATCAAGTTGACTATGTCCAACCGAGCCAAGATTTGACTCAACAATCTGAAGATTTGACACAAACTGAAAAACCAAAATTTTACAGTCAAATTAGTCCGACTGTCTATCAAAAACCAGTCCCGGTTATGTACCAACAAGTTGAATATGTTCCACCCACTCAAGATTTGACACAACCTGGAAAACCAAAACTTTACAGTCAAACTGGTCCGGGTGTCTATCAAAAACCAGTCAGGGTTATGTATCACCAAGTTGAATATGTTTCACCAACTCACGATTTGACACAACAATCGGCTTATCAACAAATACCAAATGCACCTCGAAATCAATATTTGACACAACAAAGTCAAGATTTGACACAACAGAGTCAAGATTTGACACAGCAGAGTCAAGATCAGGTAGATATCGGCCCACCAGATTCTTATCAGCAATCAGTAGTAGATACCGAGCCTCTACAAGGTCAAGATTTAACACAACAAAGTCAGGATTTGACACAAAACACCGAACCTCTAATTCCACTACCACAAGAACAAAATGTGTATAGGTCACGTGATCCTGCACATTTCAGATCAACCTACAAACCAATATCACGTTATGAACCACAAAGTCAAGATTTGACACAGCAGAGTCAAGATCAGGTAGATATCGGCCCACCAGATTCTTATCAGCAGTCACCAGTAGATACCGAGCCTCTACAAAGTCAAGATTTGACACAACACAGTCAGGATTTGACACAAAACAGCGAACCTCTAATTCCACTGCCACAAGAACGAAATGTGTATAGGCCACGTGATCCTGCACATTTCAGATCAACCTACAAACCAACATCACGTTATGAACAACAAAGTCAAGATTTTACACAAAACAGTGAACCTTTTATCCAACGTCAAGAAAGACAAAATGTGTACAGAGCAGTTGATCCTACATACACATCGACATATAGTTGGCGTCCTCAGAGACGGAATTTTGACAATGGAGTCGGACAAAGAATACAATATTACGAAAATCTAAATAAACCAAACTATMTACAACAAACGTCACGACCGCAAAGTCAAGATATGACACAACAAAGTCAAGATTTGACACAACAAAGTCAGGATTTGACACAACAAACACAAAATTTTGGCCAACCAATTGTGGGTCCGCCGGAAATCTACCAACCGCTGTCACAATTCGCCACTGCGCAACAAAGTCAAGATTTGACACAAGTTGAAAACATCAATCAACCCATCGAGCCACAGCTTTCATCAAATAAAATTCCTAAAGATTTGACACAACAAAGTCAAGATTTAACACAACAAAGTCAAGATTTGACACAACAAAGTCAAGATTTGACACAACAAAGTCAGGATTTGACACAACAAAGTCAAGATTTGACACAAGAAATTCAACCCGAAGCTCCAACAACCCCCCCAACGGCCCAGAACAAAGCACTAGGACTTCGCCCCGACCAAAAAAGACTAACTCAAGCCCAACAAGAGTCTCAACATCTCATCGATCTCCTTAGGAGAGAATCACAAAAAGACCAAAACCAAAATATTGGCACTATGAACTACTCCCCCCAACCGGTCTATGCTGACTATGATGGTCATCAAATACAAGTTGGTACTACTCGACAATTGGGCCCCCATGAKGCCCAAGTGGACACAATTCCAAACCAAGAGACACAAACAGTGAGGGACATCGAACCGGTGGAGCCCCAAGTGGCCAGCGAAGTGCAACAAGTAGATGAGACACAAACAGTGAGGGACATCGAACCGGTGGAGCCCCAAGTGGCCAGCGAAGTGCAACAAGTAGATGATAATACAGCAATAACAACGAAAAAGCCCGGTTGGTGGTCCCGACTCGGGACAAGTATTAAGAATAAGATAGGTTAAGAAAATTAGACTTAATTTATTGTAATTTTGATCTGAATCGAATACATGTATAGAAAAATCACGCTTTTTATACGTACCTCAGGTAAACTGTTGAAAAAATTCACAAACAAACGCTGTTGTTTGAAATCTGGAAGTGGGGTTATGTAAGTAAAAAATTCATACAACACAGTAAAAAAACACCGTTACCTAAATTTAACGCTTCCACTGGATGTGTTAATGACATTATTAAAGTTATTTTGCACAATTAACTAACATCAATGAAGTAACATTTATTTATTTACTTGTGGCGGGAACACTAAACTGTCACTGATAAGTCAGCGAAGCCAACGAAACAAAATTTAAATCACTAGTTTGATATTCTTTAGTTTTATTTAAAATACATCAATGTTGACGCAAAGTTTGCATGCACATGTTTATTATCTCAATAAACAAGATAAAAAGTAGAGATAATCAAAATCAAATTTTTATTTGGTGCTTGTGTAACAATTGACGTGTTACAAATTCGGTGAAATGAGAGCAATTGTAAAAATAGTTTCATTGTTGTCTCTAAAACTGTTACAAGTTTTCTTTAATTAGTAGATTATCTCTTATTCCAATACACAAGTTAAAAGTATAAAGATAACAAAGAATAACATTTTTATTTTGTGCAAACGTCAAATTTGATGGTTTGCAAATTCGGTCAAATGAGAGTTGTCACTTTCCACCGCCATATTGTAAAAATATCTCAGTGTTGTCTCTGGAAACTTGACGAATTTCTCCCCATTAATTAATTACTAATCGATTAATTAATGTTATTCGCCACGTGTGTGTCTCCACACCCCGTTTCGTCGCCCCTCCAAACCCCCGAGACCGTTTCCTAACATTGCAAGTGAGACCAAAAATGGAGCAAGAGAACCAGCATCCAGAGGGACCCCCACGAAAGAAAGCCCGATTTCACGTCGGCCAAAACTTGACTTCACTACCAGTGAGTTGTGATATAAGTGGCAGCCGCCAGTAATGCCTTTTAGTACGATATTTTAGTAAATATTTTCAAACATTTGGACCTCAAAACCATCGGAGTTTGTGCTACATTGTGTTCAACTTTTAATAATGTATCCAAGGACAGCTCGCTGTACCAAAAAGTGACCCTAAAGGTAAGGAAATGCGCCCCAAAGTGTGGTCCTAAGTCGTTTTTTTAGTACAACATGAACAAAGAATTTCTAGAATCGTTTGTTTCTAAGATTTCATATCCCAAAGAACTGTGTATAGAGTATAAATATTTTGATAACCATTCTGATAATGAAGACTACTCAGAGTTCGATAAATACGTCCGAATGTAAGTATGATTTTGCGTTATTAAGGGGGCTAAAAGTTGGTTTAAGCGCCCTCACCAAGTGCGGCGAGTATGTGCAATCCCTCAAAATCGACAGCTGTCGCAACGACGACATCCTCCTCCTCCTCTCCGAATGCACAAACCTCAAAGAACTCACCCTTTACCGCTGCAAGAGCTCTTTCCAAACCCTCACCTCTATATCAACCCTCAAAACCATCAAATGCATTTCGTGTCATTTCCCCCAAAAAATCGCAAGCGAAGTCATCAAAAACAACCCCACCCTCCGGAAACTACACTTATGTAAGTCCACAACGTGGGGGAACCCCCCGACTGTATTAATTTGTTCTCTAGCCGATAACACGAATGTCAACGTGAACGAAATTTGCGAAAACCTCTCGCGATCGAATGAGCAAATGCGCGAAATTTATTTCAGCGAGCGAAAGAAACTCCGCGCGAAAAGCCTGAGGACGTTGGGTCGCTTGACGAAACTCAGGAGTCTGGCGTTGGTCTCGGGGACGGGGTTTGAGTGTGATCCCGAGGATTCGCTCGAACAGATCGCAGCAGGGTGCTCAAAATTGGAGAGGTGAGAATTCGCATTTGCCGGATTTCGCTGATATGCGTTTTAGACTTATCATCTATGGGTGGAAAGAGATAAATGATGATAATTTAGTCCCCATTTTGCACATGTGTACACAATTAAGAGAGTTGGATCTCAGAGGGTTGAATATTACGATTAGGAGTTGTCGAGAGGCAGCGCTTGCGTTACCCTTTCTTAGGCTAATGGACGTGATCAAATGTCATCGGGTCAAAAAGTCACAGGTTGGTYGCACTGATCATCGATTTAGGGGTGTAATTATTGTGTTTCAGCTCGCCAAACTTAAACAGGATTTCTCAGAAATCGATATTCCGTTAGAATAATCCATTTTTTGCTTTTACATTTTATATTTATTGATAGCATTTTCATTTGTTGTTTATTTCATTTAATTTAAGTTGGTGTTAAAAGTGTAAGTGTATGTAATGACTTAATTTGAAATATAAATTTATTTTTTAAGGGGACGTTTCATTTGGCCACGCCTCCCATTGACACGCCCACTTTTTATTGTATTAAACCCAAGTGTTGCAAACAGATCGATGCAGCCGCCGCCTTGGCCTCCTTTTTATTGGGACTGGCGACATTTGGCTTATACTCAACCCCATTTAACGTCACCTGAAACATAAGCAACGGTTGACACGCCCCCTTCTTGTCTCCCTRACCTTAAATAGGAAATTTTTCTTATGGTCAGGTCCACACTCGAAACACAAATCATACTGTGGCGCCCCCAGTTTCTTCTTAGACGCGTATTCCCCCAAAAGTGATACAGGGTGTTTATTTTGTAGCGTGTAAGTATTCCACTGGGCTTGTCCTTGTTTCTTCTTCTTCTTCTGCTCTTCATTGGCTACTAGCCCCTTCTTGTCTAGCTTAACCTCCAGGAGGAGGGGCTCCAAAGCCCCTGTTTTCTCCTTCCCTAAACCTTCGCCCGGRTTCCAGCCCATTTTCTGGAGGAGGTGCATTCCCATCCCTCCCGAAACGGGCGTGGCCGTCGTCAGTTGATCCTAGACAAGATCTACGTCTCACTATCCTTCTCACTCAAAAATCCTCCTCAATAAACAACTACTCACCGACATACGTTACATTACCCCCACTTACCACAAACGAACGTTACCGAAGACACGCGACCTCCGCACGGCCAACCTTGATTTACTAGTAACCTGACACAAGCCTGAAACAAATTCTCAGGTGGCGAAATATTCCGGACGTGACGCCATATTYMAAAAATGGCGACATGTCCGGTACAACAGGCACAGATTCCATCTCTTTTTGAAAGGAAAGAAATGGTCTGTGCCTGAATGCCGACCGGATTTGGATCAACAGATCCGGACCTGAAAATTTGTTTAAGGCATTCGGGGGAATTTAGGACCGGACTCAGGGGGGTAAATTGTACCTTTTTAGCCCACGCTTGGTAACCTGATGATAATTCCGCTTGGGACAAAACTTGGGCACCTGTACTACCCGTGAATTGACCCGGTTGTTGCTTACTTTGAGCCCACGATTGCATCTATAACGAATTTTTCACACGAATTGCATACAACATATTTTCTACTACCTCTTTATTCGACTTGTACATCTGAGTTAAAGCTTGGACGTCGTTTGGGTTCTCTTGTAATTTACGAATCGCGGTGAGCCGTTGCGAAACAATTGAACCAATATCCACAGCCGTCTATAATTACAATATTACAATAATTTTTTTTTGATAAGTTTGGCACTTACGGGGTCTGAATTTGGTAGGGGGAATATTTGGGGTCCTGGAACCTCTTTGGGTTCTTTAGGCGGAGCCTCAACCGGCTTAGGTACCACTTCCGGTTTTTTTGGCGACACAGGAACCCACTCACTTTCCGTTTTCCGGTGCAATTGTCCACTACTTACAGGAAATTGTAATCTCAACTCACTTGTCCGTTCCTGTGTCGACTTGATCGGCAACGGAACCGAATTCTGCAACCAAAAAAAAWTAATCGAAGCCACGCCCACCAAACTCCACCCACTTTAATATTCATCGTAATGGAAGTAGGCCGATCTTTYATCTGAAACGGATGATGAAACGGCTTATCATTATCACTATCACTCCCTCCTCCCTCCGAATTACTCGACAACTCCCCCAAAGCCTCCTGTTTCGATAAAGTTTTACAGAAATCTGTAAGTTCTTCGATTGTTTTCCCGCCGGCTTTGATCGCGGCGATCACTTTTTCTTGTGCCTGGGGGCCGAGAGTAAGGGCTCCGGGTAAGCTCCCGGACTTCATCATTTGAATGGCATTCTTCCGGGCGATTTCTAGCAGTTTCTTTTTGTCGATATGGGAGGAGTCACGRGAGGAGGAGCGATCGCGTCGTGGGCGGTCCCGTCTGTAGCGGTCACGCCCCCAAAAATCGTCGTCTTTGTAGAATGGGTTGTCGCGACCGTTTCGTCTCTCGCGGCTTCGGACACGCCTATCGCGACTGCGACTGCGACTACGACTCCGCCTACGATTCTCATGACTGCCTTTGATTTTGTTCCTCAAGTCGTCGATTTTCAATTGAAGCTCTTTTTCCTCGCTCAATTTCGATCTAATTTCTTCCTTCTTCTTTTTTCGGTCCTTATCGTGGTGATCGCTTTTATGTTTACGTTTCTTCGATTTCTTCTCGTCGTTTGAGTCGCTRTGGACTTCCCCTTCTTCCAGTTTCTTCGCTTTCTTCTCACTTTCTTTCTTGGTGTCGACTTTCTCCTGTTTTATGGCAAGATTGAGACTCAAGTCGGTCCCTTCAATGCGAATTTTTTGCTCCGAGGATTCTTTCTCTTGTTTGATCAAAATTTCGGCCAAATCAATCTCAGACTTGTCACTGGAGGAACTTTCGTGTTTCTTCTTCTTATCTTTCTTTTTGTGTTTCTTGTCTTTGTGTTTGTGTTTCTTTTTACTTTTTTTGCTTTTTTTACTAGGAGGCGAGTCAGATTTCTCCTTTTTTATTATTAGAGGGGGCTCAGCGTCGAAACTTTCAAACAGTTCGGAGAGAATCTCCATTGAAGACTTCACAGGGGCGTCGATGACCGGCTTCTGGTCCTCCGACGCCATTATCACACCAAATCATCAAAAATCCCATAAACAACACTCACTTAAGTCAAAAAACACCCAAAACACGTTTTTGTTGTTAAACAATTTCGTAGTGTCAACTGTCAAAATTGCCAGGACAAGGCCACCAACCCACTTCAAATTCACCGAATTTAATCAAATTTTGCAAATTTGACTATTTATTTAATTTTTTTACTATTTATTTACATTTATCACAACTCGAATTGRGCTATTATTGTACAATTAACCGTGCCTGTATTTTTAATGGCTAAAATTGMCTTGTTCTAGTGCCAACGTAATGCCACGAAACTCCCTAAATTGGTAACACGATCACCTGTGATGCCTCATAAAACGCTAATCTCGCTAATTCGCAATTTAATTGTTGTTTATATTCTAACTCGCATAACATAATAACAATGTAATTACGCAAATTGAGCAAAGTTACGTGTGAACTAACTGTGTAAAACTCGTGTCAAGCGACACACCTAACCGATCTATTTCTGATCAGTTTGACTAAAATATCTCACGTGTGATTGAATTCCGCCTCTTCGTAACTCAGTAAAAGTCAACAAAGGCCACCGTGAAGTTACAATTAATTTTTTGAGTGAAGACCTTTAAGACGAAACCTAACCTCAATTTTGACAAGTCCCGTGATTTCGTCCCCAGAATGTCGTCAAGCAGCGAAACCGCTATGGAAGTGTCCTCGAAGAAGTACTACAGACATGCACGTCAAAGGTCAGTGTGAATTCCCCTTAATTTATCTTTTTTTCGTAATTTAAGATCATTGGTTATGCAACCAACTATACACCATTCCGGGTTATTTAGGGGATGTTATACTATACAATGTGGGGCATGTATAGTGTAAAATGTATATACCGGGTGTTTCGCGTAAGTGGGCGTGTTGGGTCAATCCCCGCCTTCTGCAATCTCTCATTTCTAGCCTTATCTTGTCGATAAACCCGGTCGTAAATAACACGCGTCTTTATCATGACCCCTGTGTGAGTTGATTCAGTTGTTGGTTGTCTCTCGTCGCGATAAAATGCCTCAAACGTCTCATTTAACAGCGGAAATGATGCGCTCGCGGGCATATTCCAGTGGTGCCAAACTGCTTCCTCACCTGGATTTGCGACGTTGCGACAGTTCCCAAAACGATTTAGAAAGTTTCACCGGAGGCATGCCCACGCTGGAGTACAGTTGGATTGACAAGAGAGAGTTGGACCACAGGTAAATTTCGAAAATAGATCGAGTGATTCACAGATCTTGTCAAATTTTCCATGTTGGGTGACGTCATCGGTGAAAAATTCGCTGAAGCGCGAAAAAAATCAATGACAGGTGGTCGATGCCTACTCGATTTTGTCGATGCACGGCCCATTTGACGTCAATAGTTTAAGAAATAGTTGATAAGGTGCAGTCAAGGCCGGTTTGATGTGATTGAGTTGTCACCGATTTTGTAATAGATTGAAATMTTTTTTTAATTAATTTTATCTCTCTTACTTAAATATTTGCATAATTGTTTACACTTTGTCTGTTTTTGCAAAGTTGTATTAATTGTTGTGTTAATATGAACCTTGGATGTTTGCTATAAATTTGACGATTTTGACAGATATTTATAGCGAATTTAAGCGTATTGAAACCATGACCCACTGGACTATTTTAATCCTGGTGTATGCAAATTGTGCAGTTGTGGAATTTCGGACGAAAATTACATATTTTTCGACATAATTTTTTTACAGGATCTGTATCGAATGTTTTTTACTTTTTTCGTTAAAAAATATGAAAATTATCAAATATTTTAGAAGTTCATATCTCAAAAGTAATTTTGATGTGAGAAGACGTACACCAGTGTAAACATTTTTGTTTAAAAATTAAAATTTTGTGTTTTATTAATTTCTTGTTAAGAATATGGTTACAAAAATGGCAGTTTTTAACGTTTTAAATGTCAAAATTTTAAATGTTTAAGATGTAAAAAGACGCACGCCTTTGTTAATAAAATAAATTAAAATTTACAAGAAATTAGGCTTTAAAGATGTGTAAAAAATTGAATTATTTTTTATTCTTTCTAACTACGCCACTGGTTTTTTCTTTAATTACGTATGTAGTTACACGAAAAAAATTGCAGATTATTTGTTTTATTTTAAGTAAGATATTTTAAAATTTCATTTTWGAAGTTAAATATTTGGTTGTGAGAAGACGTACGCCACTGTGAAGAATTTTAAGTTGAATAAAATTCACCCAAAAACTTTACTAAGATTATTTTATGTTGTACCTACGCTACTGGTTAGCACATAGTATTATCAAAAATAGGCAAAATTTTAAAGGTAGGTAAACGAACGCCACTGTCACTACTTTTATTTTACATTAAATGTCTCAAAAAAGGTTGCATCTTAAAAGCATTCAAAAGTTGACTAAAAGTTTATTTTATCAAATTTATTAATTTGTAACGCCACTGGTTTTTTTAATGCAGAAATATTTGATACATTTGTTATKAAAAATTGTAATTTTTTGAGTGTATTATTACAAAAGTCAAATCAGAATCCAATATTTAAAAGGTAAGTGGACGAACGCCACTGTTAAGAGTTATTTTTTTAATTAAAAGTTTCCAAAAAATTTGGGCCTTAAAAATATATATAAAAATATTGAAAATGTGTTTAAAATCTTGTTTTTAATTTATCAAATTTATGTCTACGTCACTGGTTTTTAGTTTTTAAAAAATTCAGAATATTTCCTAAATTTTGATTTTGTCATATACAGGTGCGCCAGAACTCGCGCCCCAGAGAAAATTTTTAAGTAGGGTAAGATACCAGGAACATGAAAAAAATGTTAAAAAATTCTATGTCAAAAAATTTTGACATTTAATTTTTGACATTTGACATTTTTTATATCTATTTAATGATACTGATGATCTTGTATATGTTCTTTTTTACAATTATTTAGTAAAAGGACATAAATTTTGCCAATAAAAGTCACAAATAAGACTAAACAGAGTTACAATTTAGGATACAGCTTCCTTGTTTCCTTTTTTAATAGCCTATTGGAAAAAAAAATTGAAAATTATTTTTGCAACAGAAATAAATAGTCAAAGTGCAAACTTTAAACCCTCATAACTTCGAAATTATTATACATAAAAAAATTTTAACATTTTTTCCATGTTCCTGGTATCTRACCTTATATGGCATTTTTCTCTGGGGCGCGAGTTCTGGCGCACTCTGTATAGTAATGAATAATAATTATTACAACAAAAATGAAAAAAACAGAATCTTTATCGAATGTTTTTTACTTTTATTATTTTTTGCATATCGTTTAATATTTTTTGTAAATATTTTACATGATTGGCATACAAGGCAGAATATTTTACATTTTCAACATTTTAAGACCTAAAGTAAGACATAGAAGACATACGCCATTATTTTTGATTTTAATTACGTTTTATTTACTGGTTTTCCTTTTATTAAAAATTCCAATCTCTAACAAAATACATTTTTTTCGGAAATTTCAACGTATTAAAAATTAAAATTCGAAATAACAGAAACGTACGCCACTGTTTTCCTATTTTATTTAAAGAAGTTGGTATAGTCAAAATTTGAACATGTGTATTTTAATGTATCGTCGACGACACTGATTTTTGTATTTAGTAATTATAATAATTGATAACATATATTTCGTAATTTTGACACAAAATACGACAAAATATACTTTTTTCAATAATCTAAGTATTTGTCAAAATTTTAACGTATTAAAAATCAAAGAACAGAGACGTACGCCACTGTTTTCACGTTTATTTCAAATAAAACGACTCGAGAAGAAGTTGAAATAGTCAAAATTTTGACCATGTTATTTCTAATTTATTGTCGACGCCCCTGATTTTTGTATTTATTATAATAATTGACAAGATATACTTCGTAATTATGACACAATTTGTGTTAAATATTATTTAACAATTACACAATTTAAATTATCAATTATAATTTGTTAAATTATAATCTATAATTATTATCATCTATAATTAAATCTAATTATAGATGATTGTATTATCTCATTTCTTGGAATTTTATAACCTGCGATTATCTTATAAACTCCGTATTTAATCTCTTATATTTAGAACAGAAAAATAATTGAAAACAAGATTGAGATAATTTTGACGGAAAAGCGAAACGATTCTCAGGGTCTCACATGACCCGTTATTTTCCTTCTTTGTCTGTCCAACGCAAATTCTCTACTAGTACATCCTTGTCTAACACGCACTTGTCAATCTTTCATTTCTCTCCCTGTGATTCCCCGGAACAAAATCTCATCATTGAATCCTGTCGACTAGATTAATGTTACTCATAAACGTTGCAACAAAAAATTAATGAAAACAAAACCAATTTGCAGCTTCTGACTTCTTATTTTCCCTCTTTGTCTATCCAACGCAAATTCCCTATCACTACATCTTTGTCTAACAGTTTTTATATTTTTTTTTCCTGTAACTCCCCGAAACGAAATCTCATCTCATAATTGGATCCAGTCGACTAGATTAGTGTTAGTCATGCACTAATGTTCCATTCATAGTTCGAATGTTGTAGAGTTTGGACGCGTGAGTGCGCGTAAATTCCATAATTATTTTCGTTAGTTATGAGGTGTGAAAAGTGAGCGAAAATGCGATTCAATGGCGACGAAAATTCCGGAAAAATCGCCCGAAATAAGGCCCCAAATGAGTGAGTTTTCCGGTTTGATTAGATGATTGGAGATTTCCGACGGCGTAAACAAATTTTTTGTGTGGTTATGAAAGTTAAACGAGACGTCAAAAGTGACATTAATTAATTTTTTCGCAGCCACCTATGACAAGACAATTTTTTGTCGCCTATTTTGTTTTTTTTTTTTTCATTTAAATGAAAATATTGACAGTTGGTGGCACATCTGTGCGACTTAATAAATCAATAAATTTTCAGATGTGCATTTGGCACGCTCACTAGATCAAAAAAACAACTTTTACCAAAATAAATTTATATAAAATGTGATCAACACGACTTCAACTTTGTGAAAAACAGTCATTTAAAAGCAATTATGTCTCTGAAAAATTCTTTTGAGTCGTAGTCGGCCTTGAGAATGCACTTTTCGCATCAGAATCGCCTTATCGTGGATTTATTTATTAAAGAAGAAGTCAAGAGGGCTGTTTCCTCGTTAAATATATCTTTTGTTTGGCAATGATAAGGAATGTTTCATTAAAATTGGATTGTTTATAATTAGAAAAGTCGATTAATTAAAAAGTATAATGCGCCAGAGTCGTGCAATTAATATTAATAGAGAAGAAACCGTTTTTAGATAATGAAAAAATTCCTTGGATTTTTTTTTCTAATTGAGGAAATTCGGTGCTAATTTAATAAACGTGAAGTGCGTTCAACTTGAATGAAACAAAACCGTTTATTTATAGGAAAATTTGACCTTGGGGTCAGAAACCAAAAATGTCTACGCCACTGGATTTAATGTTTTTTTGGTACAAAATTGAAACTGTTGGCAAAAAATGGCAGTTTTTAACATTTCAAAAGTCACAATTTGAGATTTTTCAGATGTAAAGAAGACGTACGCCACTGTTAGCACTTTTTAGATTAAAATTTACAAAAATTAGATCTTAGAGATGCATGAAAAATTTGAATTATTTCTCAATTAATTTTTCAGTTTGTCAAACTTATAACTACGCCACTGGTTTTTAATTTTTTAGTGTTAGGTATACAATTTTAAATTTTAAATAAAAAAATAATTAATTTCATAGACAGGGCAAGCCCTAAATATAAAAGATACTCAAAGGTATTTTACTTTTGAACTTTTACCTACGCCACTGGTTAAATCTTTGTTAATTGTACAAGAAAAAAATCATAGCTGATATTTTTCTCTAAAAAATAGGCAACGTTGTTAAAATTTATTAAAAAATAGTACTATGTCAAATGTCAAAGTTTATAAATGAAATGACACCGAAAAGTGTAGTTATATTAAAAATGTGTGAAAAATTTGCCCATGCGCCACTGATTTTTGTTTTTTGTTTTTTTTTTTCACTTTACGAGCTGTAATTTTTTTCGTAAATGTCAGAATATTAACACATTTTCCCAAAAAGCATTGACACAGTTGTGAAAAAATAATAAAAATGGCACTAGTTACGTATACCCGGTTTCCGAAACTTTTGTCCATTTCAAACAAATTTTGATTTTTCGGTTGTTTTTCGTGTTTTCTTTTTCAAAACTGACGGAATTTCGTCCCAAGAACACGATTGGTCGTTGCGACATATACAGCGTGATTATAAATAATTTGTTTTTTGTTATAGGATTTTCGTCAATCGAAGTTTGCACTTGGAAAACATCAAATTCTACGGTTTTGACATGGACTACACCCTCGCCGAGTACAAGTCACCCGAATACGAAAAACTCGGCTTTGACCTCGTTAAAGAACGTATGGTGTCGATCGGTTACCCACAGGAAATTCTCGAATTCGAATATGACCCGACTTTTGCCGTTCGTGGTTTATGGTTTGACGCTCAATATGGCAACTTARTYAAAGTCGACGCTTATGGAAATATTTTAGTGTGCGTGCACGGCTTCGAATTTATTAAACAGTGAGTTGAAAAAATAATCTATGCAACTSGTGATTTTTTTTTAATTGTAGCTCACAAGTATACGAGCTGTATCCAAATAAGTTTCTTCCATTGGATGAATCAAGAGTATACGTTTTAAACACGCTTTTTAATCTACCGGAAACTTATCTTCTAGCTTGTCTTGTCGATTTTTTCACAAATTCGCCACAATACACCAAGACGCAAACCGGGGTCAAGTTTGGGGATTTGTACATGTCGTTCAAGTCGATTTTCCAGGTGAGAAATTCAAATTTGGCGCTAAATGTCAAACATTGACAGGCCGTATCTTCGTTAATATGCAAAACCGGGCACTATTTTTGTCAATTTTGCTACATCTAGACTAACAGAACATGCCAGTGATATTTTTAAACCAAATTTTTGGCCACCCTGTATATAAAAAATAATACAAAGTGGGGTGTATCTTTTAAAATTTGACGTGTTTTATACAATTTCAAGATTTGGTTACATTTTTAAGCAATTTTGAGACATTCTATAGTATCTTACAAAGAATTTTGATACACCCTGTGTATTTAATTAGTTGTTTTTTAAGTTTTTTTTTTCAAAATTTTAGACATATGATTTGCAAAACTGGGCACTAATTTTTGTCAAGTTTCCTCTACATGGGCTAGTAGAACATTTTTAAACCAATTTTTTGTCCACCCTGTATACAAAAAAAACTAGACAAAGTGAGGTGTACACTTTAAAATTTGACATTTTTTATTTAATTTAATGTTTGGTCGCATGTTTAATCAATTTTGAGACACTCTGTAGCACCTTTGAAAGAATTTTGGTACACCTATAAAACTTATTTTTTTTAAGTTTTTTTTTCTAGATTTTAGTCAACCTAAAAATGAAAACTAACACATTTAACGCATCTAACGCTTTCTCTGCTTTTTTCCTAAAAATTTTAATTTTTCGCCAAATGTCAAATTTTGAGAGACCATATCTTTGTTAATATGTAAAACCGGGCACTACTTTTTGTCAAATTTGCTCCAAATGGGCTAGTAGAAGGAACATGCCAGTGATATTTCTAAACCTAATTTTTATAAAGTGAGGTATATACTTTAAAATTTAACATTTTTTATTTCATTTCAAGGTTTGGTGGCCGTTTTAATCAATTTTGAGACACCCTGTAGCATCTTCTAAATTTTTTCAAAATGTTCTTTATACGAAACCCAAAATTGAAAACTTGCAAATTTTTTGTCGGATTAAAAATTCAAATTTAGCAGTTTTAGCACCAAATCGGCACTACTTTTTATTAAATTTGCTTCATCTAGACAAATAAAGATGTTAGTGAGATTTTTGAACCAAATTTTTGGACATATGAAAAAATATACAATATATAATATATATTATATTTCATATAATATATGAAAAAATAATACACAGCGGAGTGTATACTTTAAAATTCAATGTTTTTTATTCAATTTTAGGGTTTGCTGAAATTTTATTCAATTTTGAGACGGCCTGTAGCACTTTAGAAAAGAATTTTGATACACCCTCTATATTTAAATACATTAAGGTTTTTTTGATTGCATCATGCGAGACCCAAAGTTGAAAACTAACATATTTTTTGACGATTTTTTTTTTAATTTCAAATTTGGCGCCGAAATTTTGGCGGGAAACTGCCCGAATTCAAATTCTTGTAGCATTTTTCTTGTTTTTTTTTTTTCAGGACGTCCGCAATGCCGTCGATTGGGTGCACCTCCAGGGTGATTTGAAGCAAAAAACAATCGAGAATCTCGAAAAATATGTGAAAAAAGATGAACGTCTTCCCATGTTTCTCACTCGTTTGAGAGAGAGCGGCGCAAAGACCTTCCTTCTCACCAACAGCGATTACAACTTTACCGACAACATCATGACCTACTTGTTCGACTTCCCGCACGGGTCGAAGCCCGAGGACCCTCACCGCAACTGGAAGACCTACTTCGACACCATCGTCGTGGACGCCCGCAAGCCCCTTTTCTTCGGCGAGGGGACGATTCTGCGGCAAGTGGACACCGCCACGGGGGCCCTCCGGGTGGGCATCCACACGGGGCCTTTCCAGAAGGAGCACGTGTACTCAGGCGGGTCATGTGACGTCTTCACGAAGCTCATCGGGGCCAAGGGCAAAGACGTGCTATATGTCGGCGACCACATTTTTGGGGATATTTTGAAAAGTAAGAAGATTCGAGGTTGGCGAACCTTCCTCATCGTCCCCGAATTGGTGAGGGAGTTGCATGTGTGGACCGACAAGTGTCAATATTTCGACGAGTTGCAAATGTTAGATGTGAAGTTAGGCGAGATGTATAAGTGAGTAGGGGAAATTTTGAGCCGGACCGCAGACTAAACACCGATTGCAGGAATCTAGACAGTAGCACGAAGGAGAAACCGGACATTTCGAAACTGAGGGCTGCCATACGTGACGTCACGCATAAAATGGACATGTCCTATGGCATGATAGGGAGTCTCTTCAGGTCAGGGTCGCGACAAACATTCTTCTCGTCACAGGTGAGCCCCCAATTTTTTTCAAATTTTTTTAACATCCTGCTAAATTGGGCAAAACTTGAACTTTAACTTGGTGTTTTTTCTATTTTTGTGGCTGTTTATTCAATTTGCCGCCAAAAATATGGCGGGAAACTTCTTAAATTCAGTTATTTTTTAGGTTTTGATATATTAGGCAAAATTGAGGCTGTAACTCGTTTTTTTTTCCAATTATTTAGCTTTTTTAGAAATTTAAATTTGGCGCCTTTATTAATTTTTTTCCGAAATTTTGTGGCTTTTACTTTTTTAGTGTTATACAATTTTAAATTTCAAATAAATAAGTAATAATTTTTATAGATATGATAAGCTCTAAAAGCTTTTACCTACGCCACTGATTATATTTTTATGAATTGTACAAGAAAAAAGTCATAAATAGACAGAATTGTCAAAAATAGTCAAAAAATATTATCATGTTGACATTTCAAATGTCAAAATTTAAGACGTAGACGTACGCCACTGAAATTACTTAATCACCATGAATAAATATAATTTACAAATCAAATTGAGCTCTAAAAAAGTGTAAAAATTTGGACAGAATTTTTATTATCGCATTTGTATGTGCTCCACTGGTTTTTGTTTTTTCTTAATTTTTTTTAATAAAATGTCAAACTTGGGGTTGTACGCCAATGATCACACTTTTAATCTTAATTATATTTTGTGAAATAGAAACATAAAATAAATGAAATGATACCAAAAAGTGTGTTAAAAGATGTGTGAAAAATTTGCCCCTACGCCACTGGTTTTTGCTTTTTTTAATTAAAAAACCGTAGTGTTTAATTTTACAAGCTGTAATTTTTTTTGTAAATGTCAAAATATTGAACACATTTTCCTAAAAAGGATTGACAGTGTTGTCAACAAATAATAAAAATCACACCAGTTACATATAGCCGGTTAGTGAAACTTTTGTTCATTTTAGTCATTTTCACTTGTTTTCTTCGTCAAAAGTGAGCCACATTTTTGTTCTTTTCTTTAAAACATCCTTTAAACTAAATTACGCAAAACATGAAGCTTTAACTCGTTTTTTCTCCTATTTTATAGCCGTTTATTTGAATTTGGCACTAAAATTTTGTCGGGAAACTTTCCGAATTAATGTTTTTTTGAAATTTTGTGTTTTTTTTGTTGTGAGATATAAGGCAAAACTAAGGCTTTAAGGCGTTTTTTCAATTTTTGCAGCTCTTTTACATATTTCAATTCAAATTTGGCGTAAAAAAACTTCCCGAATTTAAATTTTATTCCAGAAATTTTACTTTTTTTCAGATTGTGAGATATTAAGCAAAACTAAGACATTTCCTCGTTTTTTTTTTAAATTTTTATTGCTTTTTTACACTTTTACATACAAATTTGGCGCTAGAATTTTGGCGGAATTCAATTTTTTTTCCTCAGGTGGTGAGATACGCCGATTTGTATGCTGCTACGCATCTGAATCTCCTCTACTACCCTTTTTCGTACATGTTTCGGGCCCCCGCAATGCTCCTGCCCCACGAGTCGACCGTGGCTCACGAGCAGCGCTTCGTTTTGGAGTCGCGAGACCGCGAAAACGAGGCACGGAAGCCCCCCAAAGTCCTCGAAAGGACTCACAGCCAAATACCGCACGTGCGCCCCGAAACCCCCCTAAGTGTGACCCACAACCACGACGAGGACTTCTCCGATGAGGACAGCGATGACAAAAATTCTGCCAAAAATGACGAAAAAGTACAATAAAATGCACATTTTTTTTAGCGATTTGCTCATTTTTTACGTTGTTTATTATGAGATTTTATATCTGTAGTGTTATATAACCTGTTTTTTTATTCTAGTAAGTTATTTGTATAGTTTTGTGTTTATTTATTGTGCTTTGGTCACAAATACAAATAAAAACAATAAAAAAGCTGAAATCTTTGTTACAAAAGCAAATCTTGAAGATAATCTTCCATTTCTTCCTCCCGTGTCTTAATTTCTTCCGGTTTGTGGTGATCCCAAGGCGAGTCACTTGTCTCCTGGGGCTCCGAATGACTTGTCTCGCCCTCCTCCACCCGCTCTTCGCTCTTCTCCCGTTTCTTCACTTTCTTCTTCTTCTTCAGTCGTTTAACTTCGCMTTTTTTGCTCCTGAAGTTCAATTTGAGGGAACAATCGGGACACAGCCCTGCAAAACACCATGAGACACACCCCCTGAGCCCCCCAACACTTACTAATCTTCACTAACGCATTCTTCTTCTCTCCTTGCTCCCTATAAGCAAAATTCACCTCCCAAGTCCTCAAATTCTCTCTCTCGTCACATTTTTTATTCCCACAACTAAACTGGCCCTTGCCCACAATCACCTCTTGCTCGATTCGCCACCGCAGGGCAATCTGGGGGCCCCAAAATTGAAAAATCCCCCCAAAAAAACAAATTATTTTACCTTATTTTCCTTGTAATAAGTGAGATCTGCGATGCAATACTCTTTGAAAAGCTTGTCGTAGTACTTTTTGGCAAATTGAGCTTCCCATGTATCGGGGGCTGAGTCGTCCCARAGGAACCGGTGGTTGGCTTTAAGGACATCAATGTCAGTGCGGTCTTTTGAGGCATCGCGTTGTAATAATTGGGTGTCACCGGGCCGGTTAAGCACGTATTCGTTGATAATGGCCTTGTGTATGTCGTAGGGGTTCATGTAACGCATTTGCGAGCGTAGGGACGTCATTCTGGGGGCTATCAAAACATAACCTAGAAAATTGACAGGTGACAGCAGCAAAACAGTGACCTGTAATCGACAAATTGTAAAACGAATACAAAAAAATAATTTCATAACGTGGGACACTTAAGTCAACATTTGTACTAAATTGAGCAACAAATGTGTGATTTTTCAAGAACAAAGTGACTGAAAATTTAGTTCGCCGCGTGACAGTTTTCTGTAAAAGCATGACTTTCTGTCATTTGACATAAAAATTAACATAAAAAATTAATTAAGACAACTGGAACTTTTCATCAACAGTTTTGCAACAAATGGATACAAGTTACGTAATTTACTTATTTAGAAATAATTAATTGTTTTAAATTTGGTACAGTTTTCTGTAATGCACAGCGCCCTCTATTGAATTGTCTTCCAACTGTTCAAAAATGGGATCACCTAATTAAATTAATCAAAATTCTGGTCTCCTATTGATACAGTTTTTGATTTATTTCGATAATCCCACAATTGTGGTTTTAATCCGTCCAAAAACACACCCATTGAGTCATATACTAAATATGGGGGGCGGTAAAAGTGCCCCCCTGACCCCCTGTCTTAATTACCCCAATAAACTCACTTTTAATTGTATTTGAGCACCAAAAAAAATATTAAAATTGTCTCCACGTGCGTCCGCATTGTTTCCGCCACCACAACGCATGACAATGTTATTACGATCCACTTAACTATTTGTTTTGAATATAAAAAAAACTTCCGAAACAAGAGTAGGCCAATGTTTACTTTACTCGAAAATATTTTTTTGAATCATTGTTTAAGTAGCAGCGACGCTGATAACATGTTGGTGATTTATTTGATTTTCTTGGGGGCGGGCCCCATTTGGGGGGCTAAAGACTCGTACTTGGAGGCGTACGAGGCGTCGCATAAAGGGCCCCAAAAGACAGATCGCGAGTACAACGAGATGTTTCCGTACCCAGGACCCCCCAAGTACACCTACGGACCCCCCTCAGCCCCCGCGTATGGCCCTCCGTTGCAACCGTAAAACTCCAAACTGTGATAAAAGTGGTTTAATTGCGGTGTTTTAGTTACCCGGTGCCTGTGTACGGCCCCCCGGCCCCAGCCCCCATCTATGGGACCCCTCATGGCGTGTTGGGACTTTTGGATAAGTTGAAATTTAAACTGGATTTGTTCACTCTAGGAAAAATTTTATTAAAAATTGTTCTTTTTAAAAAGTTTGTGAGTTTTGTTGCTATTTTGTGTTTGTTGCTTTTTATCCCCTATTTGAAACATAAAGTGGATGGGGGAATGCCCGAAGGGGGCGACGATGATGACGAGGCAATGCGGAGCTTTAAAAATCAAGGTTTGTGTTTTTGTAATTTTTTTTGAGGCTATTTTTGTTTTTTTTTTCCAGCTTCTGACAAATTTTTGGATAATATTAGCCAGTTTGTGGTGGGAGCCATTGATAATTTTTCGCAAAAATATCAGGGGGAAAAATGTGACAATTTCTATTGTAGGACAAGGAAAATTGTGCAAGAAATTGACAATAAAATTACTTATAAAAAGTAAATAAAAAAATTAAAGGGCTTTTTTAATAATTTTTTTTAGGTTGGCTGGCCTTTATTTCAAGGATGCACAATAAATTGCCATCAGCCACTTTTAGTATGTTATTTATTACCAAATTTATTTATTTAATTTATTACCAGTACAAATAAATAATTAATTTAATTAGTTGCAATTGTTTTATTTAAGTCCCTCGCCTCTTTAGAAAAAAAGTAAAAAAATAATAATTTCAATTGTTTTCATATTATTGTTATTGTTTTTACAACAAAAAAAATCATTCAGTTATTTTATTTAAGTTGACCCTCTAACAATATTTTCTCAAAAAAAAAACTCAAGCGTTAAAATTATTGTCATGTATTTGTAATAAATTCAACTTTTGTATTTTAATGACAAATAATTTTAATTGTTTTGTTTGCCCCCTTTTCATGATAAAAAGTAAAAAACATTTACTAGGTATTTGATACTTGATAAAAGTCCATAATTTTATTGTATAAATTTTTTGGTTTAATTTATTAAAATAGCCCCTTTTCCACTTCAAAAATTAAGAAAATATTTGTGTCTACAATTAAATTAAATAATATTTTATAATTACATAATTAATTAGTTTTTCTTTAGGTTTATTGCCCTCTCAGAAAAGAAATTAAAATAAAATTTTAATCATTTCCAGTCAACAAAAAAAACACAAATATTTATAAATATTATTTAATTTTTTTTTATACAGGGTGCGCTACTTCTCGCGCCCCAGAGAAAAATGCCATATAAGGTAAGATATCAGGAACATATTTATAATATTTATAAAAGTTTCGAAGTTTAAATTTTGCACTTTGACTCTATTTATTTCTGTTGGAAAAAATAATTTTTCAAGTTTTTTTGCTACAGGCTATTAGAAGAGGAAACAAGAAAGCTGTATTCTAAATTGTAACTTTGTTTAATGTTATTTGTGGCTTTTATTGGCAAATTTTTTGTCCCTTTACTAAATAATTGTAAAAAAACATATACAAGATCATCAGTATCATTAAATAGATATAAAAAACGTCAAATGTCAAAAAATATGTCCAAATTTTGACAGATAGAATTTTTTAAAGATTGTTTCCATGTTCCTGGAAACTTGAAATTTTTCTCTGGGGCGCTAGTTTTGACGCATCCTGTATAATTTAATAAACACCTCCCTCCCAATTTTTTATTAAAAAATGTAAAATAAAATAAAAAAGTTGTTAATAAAATAAGTTCTGTCATTATGTATTATAGTCACTACTATTTTTTACAAAAAAAAAAAAAATTATAAAATATAGTTAGCTTAAATTAGCCCCCTGTCCCCTACAATAGTCAATTTTTAAACTTATTTGTTTGCAGTAATTATTATTATTTTGATTGTATTTGAAATAAAAATTATTTTAATTGTTTTGTTTGCCCCCCTTTTTTTAATAAAACCCCTGTTTTCTACTTGTCGTAAAAATACGTAATTTTGTGTTATACAACCACCACAAGTAGAAATTTTGGCCCCCTTCAAAATTAAAAGAATTTTTTTTGTCCAAAATCAAATTAAATAAAATTTTATTATTAATAGTTTCCTAATTAAAAATAATTGGTGATTGTGTTTTCCTATTATTTATCGCAGTATCCTTATCATTAATTTGTGTTTTCCAGAATCCTTAACTCCAACCTTGATTTGACACGAATTTTTTTCTGAAACCAGGGAATTACCATTTATTAATAATTTTTATGTATTCCAGTCACAAGATAACGTCTTGACTCGCATAAATAATAATAACATAAATAATTAATCATTCAAATGCAATGGCTTTCGTTAAAAATTCCCCCACAAAATGAAAAAAAATTAAAAAAAACACTATTGCGATTTCAGGTCAAAGCTCTCGCTTGTGAAGTGACTTCAGCGTTTTTTTTTTTGTTTTTTTGTCGATACAGAGATGTCCCCCGTCTCGTTTTGTGCCCCCCTCCTCAGCCTCCGCCGCTGCATTATTTACATTTCCACTACATTAAAATAATATAAAAGCGAAAAGACAAAGAAGTTGTTTACAGTCTTGGTCGAGACGTGAAAGTGTTTGAGATGAAGATCGTTTRTCTGGTTTTAGCTGTGGGGCTGGTGGTCCAAGCGAGGAACCTCGTGAGGAGAAACACGAGAAATGAATGTAAGTAACACTTTCTAAGTCAATTATGCACTCAAGGACGCTAGTAGAATTTTAATTGAAGGAAAAATGCATTTTTCGCGAAGAAATTGCAGGTTGGAGAGGTGGTACCACGGTGGTACCATGGTGGTACCCAGCGTCCTGCAGTGTACCCGTTTCCGTACTTCCTTTTCTTCTAACTATTTTTTTAAAAATAATTGTTTTGCAAGTACCTCTGTAGTACCCATGGTACCAACCCGTGTAAACATTTGTTATTACATACTATGTTTATGATACTATAATTATTATTTTGAAAAATTGTATTTTTTTTTAGTTAGGGATTCGCAGTGGTACCTTTTGTGGTACCACTTGTTCATGTACTCGTAAGAACATTTCCAATGAACGTTTGAAGTAATTTTGTGGTCGTATACTTCCTTTGATGCTCACTAATTTAAAAAAAAAATATTTTTTACAAAAAATATACAAACGTGTGGTACCTTTATAGTACCCATGGTACAAATTTTTTAGCAACATTTTTAATTATTTGTTATTTCTTTTTTTACTATTTTTTACAGTACCATGCTACAATTTCCAAAAATTATAATAATTTTTAATTATCACAGTGGTACCTAATGTGGTACCGAGTTACGGTGTATTTATTTATGCAGACATTTTCAATAAACGTTGTTTGATATACTTATAGGTAATTTTAAAATCAAAAAAATGAAAAAAGAAATGTGAAAAAAAATTGGTGGTACCATTGTAGAAATGTACAGAAATGTGATTTTTACAGCAATTTTTGTTTTTATTTTTGAATTTCCGTTACTAATTTTGAYAGAAAGTTTTAATTTTTTTCTCATATAAATAAGTGGTAATAGGATACCATTTTGGTACCTGTTAAAAGCTGTTAACATCCTCAAATTTATTGCAAAATAATTGTTAATTGTGTTTTAYTACCCAGCTGAATGCATTTTTAATTATTTTTTTTAATTTTATTGTTTTTTGTGATGGTATATACCACTGTTACATTTAAAAAGTTTTTTTAAGAATTAATTAAAATCGAAAAAACGTTAATTTTTTTTTTCTTAAAAAAATATGATGTTCAGTGTTTTTGTTAAAAGAATTTTGGTACTTACTATTGTGGTACTACTTGTCCAAACATTTTGAAATTTTTCTTAAAAAAATGTCGGTAGGTACTACTTTGTTTTCCTTTAAAAAATAGTTTTTTCAAATTTTTTACAAAAATGTTCAGTTTAATTTTTATTAATTTTTTTGTGGTGCTACTCTGCTTTAAAAAAATACAGTTTTATAAATTTAAAATAAAATATTAGGTAAACATAAGAAAACTTGTTTTTGGTTAAAAAATGTTCTGATGTTTATAAAAAATATTTAAACTCGTGGTACCACTGTGTGGTATTTATTAAGGAAAATACTTGTACATGTATAGTACTCTTGTAAGAGTTCAAAAACTATACCTTTCGCATAAAATCAACATAATTTGAGTTTGTTTTAAACTAAGTGGTGTTGGTACTTGTAGTGGTACCAAGTAAAATTTTTGTTTTCAAAATAGTACCTTAATTAAATTAWTTAAATAAACAGTTTTTACACTTTGAAGGTGGTACCACTCCATATTTTTACAAAATAATTTCAGTACTAAAAACGTGGATTTATGGTACCGCAATAACGTAAACAATTTTCAGAGGCGGTACGCGAAATTCGGAGAATTTRGTACCATTACSATCACAAGTGGTACCATAAAAAATGTAAATAATGTATCACGCCGGTTTTATTTTGCTTTTTTCTTGTCCAGCAAGTTCAAGGATGCCATCAAGTCGCCAGAGAAAGTTAACCGTTTTGCTTTATTTTACACAGAACCAGTCTTGGTAATACCAACRGCGAATTTTTCTTAATTAAGTCGCAATTACAACATTGGTACTTTAATGACCTACAAATTCCGATACTAACTTCAATAATAATTTAACAATTTGTATAAGTGGTACCAGTACCATTGATGCTCAATTTTTAGACAAAATGTGCGTCCCTGAGCACCTCCTCGACCTCTGCCAACAAATGTCAACTCAAGAGACTAAAAGCTCGGCGAAAATAATCTGCATTCCAGCACGTGACCGGTACCACTCTCCCTTTTTACGACCCCAATGACCCCTTACATTCCAGATTTGAGTGCATTGAAAAAATCAAGCAACGAGTGGCTGATTTTGGTACCGTCGATCCTGAAGATATGTACATCGCGGCCAAAACGCCCGAACAAGATTTTGCGATTTTTGAAGAAATCCGTACGCGGGAGGAACCTGAAGGTACCACCTATACCCCCCCACACACACACTCACTGAACCATTTTTTTAGCTGAATTTCGCTACGAAGCCGTTGCTGTGGTTCACAAAGACTTAGACATTCGAGGCATTGAAGGGCTAAAAGGGCTAAACTCGTGTCACACTGGCGTGGGCCGAAACGTGGGCTATAAAATCCCTTTGACGAAATTGAAACAGAAGGGGATCATTGGGCTCTTGAACGACCCCGAACTGAGCCCACGTGAAAACGAATTGAAGGCTTTTTCAACCCTATTTCACAAAGCTTGTATTGTTGGAAAATGGTCACCGGACCCAAAAATCAACCTGGAGTGGAGTAAGTAGCCCAGATGTGGTACCACTCTCTTATAATGTCATTTAGAGAAWAAGTACTCGAATTTGTGTGCCCTTTGCGAAAAACCGGAAACTTGCGACTATCCTGACAATTTTTCCGGGTATGATGGTGCCTTAAGGTGTCTCYCACACAATGGCGGACAGGTCGCGTGGACTAAAGTGATATACGTCCGGAAATTCTTCGGGGTACCACTCCGGGTACCACCAAAACCCTTACTAAATATCGTGTTTTAGCTCKCAGAAAAAAATAAGGAAAATCCGGACAACTACGCGTATTTGTGTCCGGATGGTACCAAGGTACCCGTCACTGGTACTCCATGTCGGTGGGCGGCTCGTCCCTGGCAGGGCTACATGGCCAACGCTGATGTGGTAAAAACTGTTYATGAATTGCGACGAAAAATCGAAAATTTGGACAGTGTTGGTACCAAAAACCACGCCCCTTGGTTGGAGAAGGTACTCGAGTTGAATGACAAGACGGTACCAAAAGAGAACAAGATCATATCACCTGGTGATTATCTCGACAAGGCCAACTATACTGATGTGATCGAACGTGATTACGGACCGCCTTTTAAAACTGTTAGGTTTTGCGTGACGTCACATGAGGAGTACCACAAGTGCCAGGCTTTGTCCCAGGCTGCCTTTTCGCGYGATATTAGGCCTAGGTTTGGCTGTATTGAGGAAAAAACACTCGAGGATTGTATGAAAACAATCAGAGACAACGCTGCTGATATTATAACCCTAGATTATGGCCAGGTTGACAAGGCCCGACGCGAGTACAACCTAGTACCAATCGTGGCCGAGCAGTACGGTAACCTAGGAGGATCATACTACGCTGTTGCCGTGGTCAAAAAGGGCTCAAAATTTGCCTCGTTCGCCGATTTAAAGGGCGCAAAGTCCTGTCATACGGGCCTGGGTCGTACTGCAGGGTACTACGCCCCCTTATACACCCTAATCCGTCTAAATTTAATCCCCAAAACGAGTTGTCCCTACCCCAAAGCCTTGTCGGAGTTTTTCAATGCGAGTTGCCTCCCGGGAGCTAAAGAAATCAAAGACGGCTATGGTGAACGTCTGTGTGACCTTTGTGGTGGGGATGTTGARAAACATGACGTCACTAAAAAGTGCAATCTTGACTCCAGTGAGTCATACAGTGGTTATACAGGAGCCTTCAGATGTTTGGTCGAAGGTGGGGGGGATGTAGCGTTTGTTAAACACGTYACAGTGTCTGGGAACACAGGTGATTGGCTATGACACGCCRCCAAACCGGTTTATTAATTGATTGGTTACAGATGGTCACAATCGGGAAAAATGGGCGGAGGGTTTGAAATCCGGCGATTATGAATTGTTGTGTCCCGATGGTGGGCGTAAACCAGTTGACCAATACGAGACTTGTCATTTGGCACACGCCCCACCCCATATGGTACCACCAGTGAGTTAACTCCGCCCTCAATTCTAACAARTGTGTTTCAGGTCGTGACAAGTCACTCGAAAAGTAATTCCGAAATTGACGAAATTCGCAATTTYTTGATTTCGACGAGTAAACAATATACTGAAAYGCCAGATTTGTTCAAATTGTTCGGTACTTTTAACGGAAAAAAAGATTTACTCTTTAAAGATTCGGCGACTGGATTAAAATCGGTCAGTGAAGAGTCCGAAATCGAAAAAGAGTACTCGAAAGTACTCGCAGTTGTCAATGGATGTGCTTGAGTGATTTTGATTTTTTAGGTTAATTGTACTTGCCATAACACTTTTTTTAATAAATAGTTCTTAAATAGTTGGCTTTATTTTGTTTCGGCGCAAAAATTTGAATTCAAACAAGAATTTGACTAGTAGTAAGAGTGGTAAGGAGGTATAGACCCGCCTTCATGTGATTTAATTGGTTCATCTTAAACTTGAAGGGGGAGGAAACAAATCAGAGAAAGCTTCTCGCTGTGCCAACCCTTCCGATAGTGACACGGCCCCGCCTAGCCGTTCTGTGATTGGTGTAGGAGATTCTGGAGGGGATAAAAACAAATCTCCTATCATATTTTTTATTATTTGATATAAAACGAGAAATATTTGTTTTATTTACATAAATATTGACATAATTCTCTGGAAAAAACACTAATTGACTAAATTCACAATAAATGTCTTTTTAATAGTTAAGATAGGAATAACAACGCCTACTACCTATCCAAGCACAGCCATTCCTCAGTCACAGCCTACTAGAAACAGTCCCACTTCAATTCTCACTAACTGAATTGATGAAACTTTGCTTTCGTGTCGTTTTGYTGGCATTAACCCGCCCACTAGATGTCTGTTCTTTTTCATCTTCGTGATTTCGACACCACATGCGCACCAAACACGCGCGAAAATTATCCGAAAGTACTCCATAGACCACTGGATTGACCAAAGTATTCAAAAACGCTATAATCAAAGCAGCTATGAAATGGTGCGATCGTAGGAAAAACCCCCGATCTTCATTTGGTCGACTACCATCTATATATATCAAAAGCATGGCTAACGTGATCGGGAGCCACATCACCAGTACTACCACCACATTCAAGAAGAGTACTCGCACCACCTTGATGTGTTTATTGAGTCTAATTTCCTCGTGTTGACTCAAGGAACCTTGACGCCCATTGGGCGAGACCATTTGGGTGGAGAATCGGCGGGGCCATGGTACGAAAATGTCAGACATGCTCAGTTCTGATTGGCGGCGACCTTGACGACAGTCCTTGACCTCCATCGCGCTGACCATGACGCAGGAACTCGCCCATGTGTTCTTCGTGGAGATGATTTTGTGGAAGATGCGTTGGTAGTGGTAGACGAGGATTACCATGGGGAGGAGACAAGCGAAGACTACCACTGGCATGACYAAGCAGGCCGAGAAATGGATGTTGGAGGATTTGGGGAAGACCAAAGTGCAGATTTTGCTATGGTCGTCGATGGGGATCTCGCGGAACCATAATGGGACGGGAATGAAGACGATGGCGGTGGAGATCCAGATGGCGAGGGAGGAGATGGAGGCTTGGGAGGGGGTGATTTTGGAGCGGTAAGGGGGGACCACAATGCAGCGGTGGCGGTCGATGCTGATGAGGGCGAGGGTCCACAGGAGCACAATCCCCGAGACAAACTAGAAAATACATTTTTGAATTTGGTGCCAAAAGGGGTGTGGCCAAAGCCACGCCCACAAATTCTGATTTGCTACCAAAATTTTATAAATATTAATTAAGAAAAAATTAAGATTCTAACCATTAAGAAGCAAAAAACCGTATTTAAGCCCCACCTACGTCATGTAACGGAAACTTTTTGAACTTGGCTCCAAAAACGGTGTGGCGAAAGCGACCGTTAATTTTATATCAAACTTTTTACTTTTTGAAAAATTAGTTTAAAAAAAAACGTACAGAAAATTAAAATTCCAGCCAACCAATAAGAAGCAAAAATCCGTCTTTAAGCTCCACCCACATCATATGACTAAAACTTTTTGAATTTGGCGCAAAAAAAAGGTGGGCAAAACCTCGATCACGAAATTTGATTTGCTATCAAAATTTTTACGTTTTTACACAATAATAGAGAAAAAACTAAAAAAAAAATAAGATTCCAACCGACCAATAAGAAGCGAAAAACCGTGATTAAGCTCCACCTACGTAATGTGATTGGTRAATTTTGAACCAATAAGGGGTGAGCGTGAGGGGTGAGCTAGACCCCACCCACGTGTTATAATTAGTTTAAACCTTGTTTTAAACAGTTTGGCAAAAAGACTAATAAAATGACAAAAATTATTTTATGCAAAAAATCACTCTTTTGTCTCCAACTCGTTAAACTGTTCACACATCACTCCAACCAATCAGTAAGAACCAAAAAACCATAATTAGGTTCCACCTACGTCATGTGATTGAATTTTTTTGAATTTGGCGCTAAAAACGGTGTGGCAAAAGACCCGCCCATTGATTTAATAGGTATCAAAATTTTGAAAAACTAATTTTAAAAAACTTAAATAAAAATAAGATTCTAGCCAACTAATAAGAAGCAAAAATCTGTCTTTAAGTTCCACCTATATCATGTGAGTAGAAGTTTTTAAATTTAGCGCCAAAACCCCGTTCACAAATTTGATTTGCTTTCAAAATTCCAAAAAACGTGATTGCGCCCCACCTACGTAATATTAAACCAATAAAAAACATGAGGGGTGAGCCAGCCCCACCCGCGTGCTTTGATTAGTTTAAAACTTTTTTAAACAGTCTGGCAAAACTAATAAAATAAGAAAAAACTAGTTAAACTTTTATTTCATCAAGTTTGGCACATCTGGCGGCCGTTGACACCCCAATTTGTCAAAATGGCCCAGTAAACAATAACAGGAAGGAAAGCGATAGCTTTGACCTAAATTCGCAATAAAATACGATTCCGGGCCCGGAAACCCGGAACAAACACCTGAAAATTCCGGTCAAACATAAATTAATCTAAAATTAAGTTAGCGAAAATTGTCTCAATTGAAACAATTGCCATGTATTTATGCACCGCTGGACGTAATATCTCTTATAGATCAATATAAATATTTACGAAACAAGGCTGCCAACTGTGCAAAATAATCACAGGTTAATTGTACTGTTAACCTTCAAACTGTATTTATTCGTCCGGGAAACGACTGTGTATTGTTTTGGCGGCCATTTTGAGTCGTAAAAACGCYKTTAGTTGCTGTTTTAACTAATCACGTGGGCGTGGTTTTGAGTTGTCAAATTTAAAATTTAGCGCTAAATTCAAATMTAGTTTGCTCTGTTGATCTTCGAAAKGARTGTGTATTGTTTTGGCGGCCATTTTGAGTCSTAAAAACCCAATTTTAAAAAAGCGTCACGTGGGCGTGATTTCGAGCTGTTAGATTTGAAAAGTGGCGCTAAATTTAAAATGTGTTTACCTCCATGTAAGGGACGAATTTGCAAGCGAAATCGCCCAGTTTCCAAGATGATACGATTCTGGTGTAWGCGACGGCGGGGATGGTGGCGGCGAAGAGCAAATCGGCCGCCGCCAAATTCAGGACAAAGCAATTCGTCACCGTCCTCATATCTGGGAATCTGGAAAAAATTATCGATTGCGTACAGGTCGAGCGAGAAAAAAAATCATTGGGATTAATGGGATTAAGTCTAGGATTTCGTGAATTTTTTTCAAGATTGTGGGGAGATTTTAATCTGAATGTTGGCAACGTTCCGACACAATTAGGGAGAAGATTTATCGACGGGGAAAATGTCGAAAAAAATTAATGTATGTGTCGTGAGGAAAATATGTGGAAGGTCTGAAAGGGAAACTGAAATTTGTTTTCTTGTGTTTGAAATATAGGAAACTGAACACAAAAAATAATTTTACTTTTATAATAAATATTAAAATTATAATTTTGGCGCCAATTTTTACGACCAATAAAAAAGGCGGAGGTGTGTCCAATGTCTGGCCCCGTGTTTTGGTTGGTTGATAAGTAATTAATGAAATTCGCGAGATTTGAGGCTTTTTTTAAGTTTCGACAACTTAAACGCGTGTTTATAAACATTACCAACCCAAGGAAAATAAAGAATCAGTCTAGGTAATATAAATAAAATGAAAAATTATCTCTAAACCAATCTAAACACCCTTGACTCGCTTAAATTTCTWTGACGTCACAAATTACCGAAATAAAAACGACTGACCTCAATAATTTCCGCTTTTTCTCGCTCAAAAAAAAAAATAAACAATTAATCAAGTAGCTACATCCCCGAAATAATTAATTCAAATTATGAAAAATTGTATTTGGGTCGCGCGTTAAATGGCGGATGAACGATAAAAGTTCGCCCTCGTTGGTAAATGGCCCGTCGAGAGGGAAATTTCCATTTTCCCGGTCATTGGCCCCTTTGCATTTCCATCGAGTCCGGTCCTGCGCGCTCTAAAAATACGCCTCTTGAGTAAAAATAGAGCGTCGGTAATTAATTGGTGGTTCAACTCGAGACGATACATCAACATCAAGTGGGTCTTGGCGTATCGATTGTTTTTTCATAGTGTGTCGAAGACAGGACAGGATTGATGGGTTTTSAGGACCGACTCTTACCTTATGACGCAGATGATGATGGAGGTGTTAGCAATGACAGAAATGACAAAGATGGAGAGAAAAATGGCGGCTTCGATGGCGACGTAGTTGAGTGGTCGGCCGTCGAATTCGGAAAAATAAGTGAAGAAGTAACGCTCGCCCCAGCCACTTGATGTGTCGTTGGCGAACACGTAGGATGTGTTCCAGGAATAGTCGGCCATGGCGGTGTTAAACTGAAAAAAACATTAAAAGATTAAAGATTATCTTTATCGTTTCTTAAGATCATCAAAGACATTGAAACTAAGAATCCTTTTTAGTATTTAAAAAATCTTGAAAAAAAATCTTAATATTTTAATGAATTACCCCACATCATTTGACTAAAAGTTTTTGAATTTGGCGCCAAAAAAGTGTGGGCAAAACTGGTGGTGTTAAACTGAAAAAAAAATTAAAAGATTAAAAATTATCTTTATCGTTTCTTAAGATCATCAAAGACATTGAAACTAAGAATCCTTTTTAGTATTTAAAAAATCTTGAGAAAAAATCTTAATATTTTAATGAATTAGATAAGTTTTTGAAATGAAAATTTTGTTATCCAAGATTATGAAATTATTTAAAATATCTTTGAAAATCTTAAAAGTTTAAAAAATCTGTTTATACCCTCTAAAAAATTATTAAAAAGATATATTATAAGATTCTCTTTGATTCTCAATATCATGAAATTGCTTAAAATATCTTAAAAGTTAAAAAAACCTAAGTGCAAATTATTAGGAATCTGTTTTGTTTGAGAAGTCTTGAGAAAAAAACTTAATTTTAATAAAATTATCTTCAATACTTTTCAAAATGCATAGTGAAATTGTCTCAACAGATTTTCAAAGATTCTGAATGTTATAAAGAAACTAGAAGATTAAAGAATCTGTTTTCATTCTTTAAGAAATCTTGAAACACAGTTTTAAGTATTTTGAAATGAAAATAAGATTATCGTTAATGTTTGGTAAGATAATGAAATTGTTTCGAGGGTTTTTTAAAGATTTTGAAAATTATAAAGGAACTAAAAATCTAAAGGCTCTGTTTTCATTCTTTAGAAATCTTGTCATATAATTTTAAGATTTTTTAAGCCAATTGTTTAAGTACCAGTATCTTAAAAGATATTGTTTGTTTTAAAAAATTCTTAAAGATTCTGGACGTTATAAAAAATCTGTTTTTGTTGAAAAATTTAGAATTTGTTTTTACTTATTAAGAAATCTTGTAATATAATTTTGAGTGTCTTGAAATAAAAATAAGATTATCTTTTTAATGTTTTTTAAGATAATGAAATGTTTCAACAGATTTTCAAAGATTCTAAAATTTCTAAAAAAAAACTAAAAACCAAAAAATTAATGATTATGTTTTCACTCTTTAAAAAATCTTGCAATATAACTTCAAGATTCTGAGTGGCAATTTGATATCTTGAATGACATTATTTGTTTTAAAAGATAAAGTTTTGGTTTCAGATTTTTCTCAATTTTATTTTAAAAATCTTTACAGACTAAAGCACAAGATCTTAAGATTTTAGCATCGTTACAGCACTTTTATAAAATTTCACAAAAAATAAAATTAGATTTAAATAGAAATTATTAGAATTAGATAAAAATAGACAAATTGTGAAATCATGGCCAACTGGAATATTAAAATTAAATATTAAACAAACTTGAGCAAGTTTTGTTTATTTAAGTTTCCGTCACATAAATCAATTTTCTTCTTGGATATGCGCAAAAACCTAATACACGCGTAGGCTTTGTCCCAAATCCAATTCCCAAATACTTCACATAACCGGAAAATTTGATTTTCTTTGTTTACAAACATTCGTTTCCCAGTTTTTTCAAACTTTGCTTTGTCGCTGTCAAATATTGACCGAAAAAACACAAAGTGAGGTTATGTAAACTTTAAAAAAATATGGCGGAGGCGCCGGGTAAATCCCACTCAATTGTTTTTTGTTTCATGGCCAGCTTTTCATCGATGTAACTCTAGTCTTAAATTAACACGAATTTGAAACTTTTTAGACGCGTGTAATTGAATCATAGAAAGGCGGCGTGGAAATTATTTGATTAGAAGTTCTTTGTACATTCTGTAGAATTGACATTTTGTGAGAGCAAAGACAGGTTTTGTTTTTTTTTGGAAAATTCTATAAAAACACCTTTGCAAGGAAAGCCGCCTACGATCCGTTTCATCGCTTTCCTCCGGCAGTAAAAAATCCATGAAATTGCGTGTAATTGAATTTCCTTTTATTTAACTCAAACCTATTCATAAAATTTCCGTGTTTTTTCCCGTTTTTAATCGAATTATTTCTTTGAAAAGATTAAACTGAAAAGCTAAAGTTTCACCAAATCAATACACTCCAAATTGGAGTCTCTTAATTAGTCGATTTAAACGTAAACAAGGTGTGAACAATGTGACGCATTTGAGTGTATATTTAGTGAATTCCGGGATCGAATTTTTCGTAATAGAAACGGATGACGCCTTTACAAAATAACTAGTGACATAGACAGACTTTTCCATCAATTTAAAAGTTTTAAATTGCGATAAATTGACCGGAAATGTCAAGACGCAAAAGAGGGGAGATTGCAATTTATTGAAGTATATTTTGCTACAATGTTTTAGCAAATATTTTTAATTTTTATTTTAAATTGCTGGWAAATAACCACTTTAAATGGCTCACATAGTCTGTAAAATTGTATAAAAGTAACTCAAGCAGTTTAGAAGTAATTAATAGATTTTAATTTTTATCAGATAACTTTATCACCCCGTATATTCGTAACAAAGCTTTAGGACTATTGTTTATTTAATAAATTAGTGGTATTTTTTGATGTAAAATATGTGGTTGCAATTTTTCGCAATATTAAAAAACAGCCTGTATCTTTGATTCAGGGTGTTTTAGTTAAAAATTAACTATGGCTATAACAAATTAGCTTAGAACAAAGTTAGCTTTTTTTAATAAACATTTTTTTTAAGAAAAAAACAATTTTAGCGTCTTTGTCTGTTATTTCATGATTATTTTAAAACAATAAGTTTTTTCGACTTTTCTAAATAAGTTTTAACAATGAGGTTTTTTAATTTACTTGAAAATTCCGACTTTTTTTAAAATAATAATCTATAAAGATTGACTTTTAAACGTTTTTAAAACTTTTTTTGTCAATATGAAACTAAAACTTTTTAAAAATAATGTTATAATCTTAAAAAATTAATGATAATTGGATTGTCAAAATTCCGGTTGTTTCAAGACTGTAGCAATGCTACTTTTGAAGATTGTCTCGMTTCCAGAACATTATTTAACTTAACATTATTAAGTATCTTGAAACAGAAAATCTTGAATACTAATATTATAATCTTAAAAAATCAAGATAAGCAAGTCATGATTTCAATTTTGTTTCATTGATGTCAAAATTTTAATTTCTTATTTTATTATTTTTTTAAGATCGCAACAACAATCTTGAAAAAATCAAGATAATCACTTTCAGATTTCAAAATTCTCTTATTAATATCGTTACAACATATATTTCAAGTATCTTTTAAAACTTAAAAGTACGAATTTTTGAAAAGATATCTAAGATTGAGACAATATTATATTAGGATCCGCAATTTTTTTCGTTGGTTTCAAGATTTTATAGTCTTAAAAAATTAAAGATAATCGAATTGTCAAAATTTCTATCTTTTCAAGACTATGTCCTTTATCTTTTTTTCTTTTATCTTTTAAAGATTGTCTCGTTTCCAGAACGTTATTTACCTTAACATTATATTCTGTAACTTAAAAATATTTTCAGTATCTTGAATACTGATGGTATAATTTAAAAAAATCAAGGTAAGCAAGTTATGATTTCAAATTCCTCTCATTGATGTCAAAATTTCAATTTCTTATTTCAAGAATCTTTTTCAAAACTTTAAAGAACTAAGTTTTGAAAAGATGTCTAAGATAAATTTTTTTGGTTAGTTACAAAATTTTATAATCTTAAAAAAGACAATTGAGTAGTCAAAATTTTTGTTTTTTCAAGAGTATAGCAATGCTACTTTTAAAGATTGTCTTGTCTCCTAAACATTATTTAACTTAACATTATTTTTATAACTTAATGTTTTGCAGTATCTTGAAACAGAAAATCTTGAAGACTGATATTATAATCTTAAAAAATTAAGATAAGCAAGTTATAATTTCAAATTCTTCTCATTGATGTCAAAATTTTAATTTCTTATTTCAAGAATCTTTCTCAAAGCTTRAAAAAACAAAGTTTTGAAAAGATGTCTAAGATTGAGACAATGATTATCTCAAGATCTTAAAGCTTTACTTCAATTTTTTTGATTAGTTTCAAAAATTTATAATGTTAAAAAATTAAAGATAATTGAATTGTCAAAATTTCTTTTTTTTCAAGACTATAGCAATGCAAGATTTCAGCGTGTAGCTTCTACCACAAAAATTAATCCCAAAATTACGACTAATAATAAAATTGCAATTTTAATTTTGAACCAACGATTCTAAAGTATTGAAAATAGTGCCATTTTTTTATTATAGAAAACTGTAATTTATATTTCTTTTAACTTTTGTAACCCTCTCGCCCTTTCCTTAACTTAAGCTTAACTTCAAGCTTCCACAATTACGTCGAAACTTTTAATAGAAGCGCCCTAAGTCCCTTATTCAACAAAAAACTTCATAAGTCGGCTTTAATTCCCTTTGTTGGTTCGTGTTTAAAATATTTTTTCTCTTCTCCTTTCGTTTTTGGCGCAATAAAATATTAGTGCTCTTTGTGGTTTTGTCATTTTTTGTAAAAATTCGATTACCAACAGAGACACGAATTAATTATTTTGTCGCTGAACTAAATTAAGCATTGTGAAATAACACAAAGCTTTGAATCTCGCTTTATTAAAATAAGCAATAGCGAGCACATCTGAAATTAATTTTAGACGAACGTAAGTTGTTTCGAACAGGAAATCATGTTTTATGGAAGAAACGTGCTAATGGGAGAGGGATTTGCTGAATGAAATTCCACTCCCAATCGATTTATAATACTTTGAGGATTTTGGGGGATTCGGAAGGCCGATTTGGGAAAAGTTTCACACAAATACCGCTTGTTTGAACTATTTCAAAAAGTTTTTATACTGGTTTTATCTAATTTCAATTCCAACCCACTGAAAACATTTTTTTGTTATTAT